CCACGTTCTCCAAAACTTTCACTGTGCACCAGATGAGACCTCATCCTATGGAAGGGGGAGATCCATTCATACAGCCCCCGGGCCTGGCTTAGCATGCATGCACTGTATATGCAGTCAGTTCACAAAGGACTTACATACAGCCAGGGTGGATTTGATTTAAATCACTAGTCAGTAAGGCTTGATATAAATCCTAGTTTTCTACATAAAGACTTATACATTATACAATTATCTGGAGATTTTTGGTTTAGATTTACCAAAACCCATATAATAGGAGGACAAACCTAAACAACACTTTCAGTTGTATCCAATTAGGCAGGCCCTTGCACTACATAGTTGAAGGTAAATCTAAAGGAAATTGGGCAGAAAATCTGCAGATAATTGTATAATGTATGGCCAGCCTAATTCTTGCTGGTGTAACTTTAATATACAAGTAGATGAAGATTTTTAGAATAACAACTTTTCATATTAGTTTTTTTATCCCCAGTTTAATAGGTTAATCATTCATATTTGGACAACTTTTCTGTTGTACTTTAGGAAGGAGAAAAATAATCATTACCTTAATAATAACAATTTAAATAGATTTATTCAACTGAAACAATAACATCCCAGCATATGTGATTTGCTTAAACATCCATGTTTGTTAACTAATTTGGCTAAACAAAATATATATATTTGAAGAAACTTGGACTGTCAGCCCCTCCCCCTCACACTTAGTTTCACTTTCTTCTTGTGCAGATCTATTCCACTCCAAACAATCAGAAAAATATTGTTTCTATTCACTGAACTTCTTGAAACTTATCACTGAAGGGGTTGATTCTGTATTCATAGGTTTGTAGAAGTTAGGATGAAGGTCTTTTTCTTAACTCTGTTCATGTTATAACATTTTTGCTGTGAAGAAGAGGCATGTGATCTCCGCTGAGTCAGATTCAGTTTTGAGAACTGCAAAAGTAAACCGATCATCTGTGATAATATCTTGTAGGCAGAGAAACTGCCCAATAATCTTCCAAAAACCTCTGGAAGAGCATGACATTGTGAATGGATTCATGGAATTTATTTACCAAAAAAATTAAACATATACAGCCTCATTCTACATAAATAAAAAACTAATCTTTATTTCATGATGGAATAACCTTTGGATGGTAATATATTTTCCTCAAAAAGCATTTTATTTTAAAAAATCCGATTTAAATAAAAAAAAATCAGATTTTGTTTTTTTTTTTTTTTTTTCCTTTTAAATCATTGATTTTTATCCACCCTGCAAATTACACACCTAAGAGAACCATTTAAAGTGATGTAATTCAGTCGGCCACCTTTTTTTAAGATCTTTTTTTCCTTGTATGTACTTCTAATCTAATGGCTTTTTTTTTTTTTTCTTTCTTTTTTTTTTAGCTGGTGGTTCTCCCGTCTTTAAATTTTACACATATTTGTTATCTGTTCTAGACCTGTATTAGGTTCGTGTTTTGGGCAGGCTGAGCTCTGAAATAGGCGTTTAGATAAACAGCTTAGTGGCTTATTACCGTGGTGTTTTTTAATCCTTTGTGGTTACTCGGACTTTTGAGTGTGTAATTTCAGTTTAGCTGATGTTAGGCTTTATTCACGTCTGTGGGGGCAGCAGTAAAACCAGGTGGTTGAGCTGAAGTTTTACCCCCCCCCCCCAACTACACAGCCACTCACAGCTGTACGTATGCTGCGGCGAGGCTCAGAAGAGCTACAGTCCCTGCCTCCCATGTGGTCAAGCTCTAACTGTGTTCAGCCAATCATCGCTGCTTGAAGAGCAGGTGGACTTGTATTTAACAGAACAGATAAGGGGGGAACTATGGTGCTTCTTTGATGGATTTGCACAGAGAGAGGATCAGTATAGCACAGTCACCTTGCAGCATTACCAGGAAGCAGCGCCTACGTTTGCATTGAGTGGGTATGGCTGCCCCAGTGTATAATCGCAGACTTTAATCTAACCTCCAGCCTTCCACAGTTGTGGACTGAAACGGCTTACTCTGATGTCACTGCAAACTGTGAGCGTCTCACAATGTGCATTAGAAGCTGCAGCATGTCCAATAGAGCCCGCCTCATCTCCTAAGTGGGGGATGGCCTGCATCATTTAGCCCTTTCCTCCTCAGACTGACTGTTCCAGGCTTGCACCTCTCATTGGATTTCAGCTTTTTAAATCAAGGAGGCTCAGTATCACATGCAGGTATTCATTAGTAACCTTTCACCCCATGACTGCAGCCAAAGAGTAATACTAAGGCTTGATTCACACCAATGGGGTTTTTTGTGCATGTTGCAGAAACGCATTACAGTCCAGTTAACATGGTTTCCTATGGGACACATTCCCATCTATGCGTTTTTCAGCTGCCAAATTTTTTTTTGGAAAGGACCAGAGAATTTTTTAAATGCAACACAGTGTATTTTTGGTTGAATGGACACATGGCAAAAACGCATGGGCGGCACAGTGGCTTAGTGGGCAGCACAGTGGCTTAGTGGTTAGCACATCTGCCTTGCCGTAAATGGGTCATGGGTTCGATTCCTAACCATGGTGCCTCCTGCATGGAGTTTGCATGTTCTCCCTGGGCTTGCGTGAGTTTCCTCTGGGTACTCAGATTTCCTCCCACTTTCCAAAGACATGCTGGTAGGTGAATTGGCTCCTGTCTAAATTGTCCCTAGTATGTGTATGTATGAAATGTGAGTTAGGGACCTTAGATTGTACGCCCCTTGAGGGTTAGGGACCTTAGATTGTACGCCCCTTGAGGGTTAGGGACTGATGTGAATGTACAATATATATGTAAAGTGCTGCGTAAATTGACAGCGATATAAGTACCTGAAATAAATAAATGTAGTGCGTTTAATAGAAAACTATTGCCGTTGATGCCACTTGGGATCGGTGTGACTTTGATACAATTTTTTTTCTTGCTAATAGGAAAGTATGACAGTTCTGTTTAGGTAGTGCAACTTTACGCTCTCTGGCTCTCAAGCCGCATCCAAGTCGCACTCATCCAAAGTTGCATCAAAGTCAATATTTTCCTATTGGCAAAAAAAAGTGGCAAAAACGAGAGTTCAGAAATGCAAAACACACTGGAAAAACACATTCGTAACACGTAGAGGTGTGAACCTAGCCTAACAATAAATGGAATTTTTTTCTAGGCAAATGTGCATAATTATGTTGTGACTTGACATAACTTCACAAATATATATATACTCTGTATGTGTATTTCTTTCCAGCCTGTAGATCTCTGTAAATACTCCTAGATTGTAAGCTCCAAGGAGCAGGGCCCTCCTAACCCTGAACTGTATTGTTGCTGTATTGTCTCCCGTTATATTGTAAAGTGCTGAGCAAACTGTTGGCGCCATAAATCCTGTATTATAATAATATATAAATCCTGTATAATAATAATATATAAATCCTGTATTATAATAATATATAAAATCCTGTATAATAATATAAATAAACAGTTCCTAGCATAGCAGCCTTATTTCCGGATGTTCTTGGAGTGCCGTGTTCTCTCCATAAGAATATGTGACCTGATGATTCCAGTTGACATGAGTCAGTGCCCCAATCACGCTTAGCCTGAGCCCCTGTATCAGAGTAATAACAAAGGATTAGAATCTGAAAGTGGTGGCTTTAGCCCATTAAGCTGCATTACAAGCAGAGCTCTAGCTATTGTTGCTCATAAAGAGGTGGCTTATTCAGAAGTCTTGAATGACACATTGCTTGTCCTGTGTGTCAGTCACAGCCCCACAAGGTAACAAGGCAAAGACAGGTTGCATCAGTTGTTTGAGTTTGCCCTTGAATTCCCTCATGTCTGTGAGTTTAGGTAAATGGGACTCAGGAGATTGCAGATATACTAAAGGAGACTTACTACTAAAATTGCATACATACTACAGGAGAGTGTAGACATACTACAGGGCACTGTCGGTGATTATAGACATACAAGAGCCTGCCAGAGATTGCGGACGTAGTGCAGGAGCCTGCCAGAGACTGCGGACGTAGTGCAGGGGCCTGCCAGAGACTGCGGACGTAGTGCAGGGGCCTGCCAGAGACTGCGGACGTAGTGCAGGGGCCTGCCAGAGACTGCGGACGTAGTGCAGGGGCCTGCCAGAGACTGCGGACGTAGTGCAGGGGCCTGCCAGAGACTGCGGACGTAGTGCAGGGGCCTGCCAGAGACTGCGGACGTAGTGCAGGGGCCTGCCAGAGACTGCGGACGTAGTGCAGGGGCCTGCCAGAGACTGCGGACGTAGTGCAGGGGCCTGCCAGAGACTGCGGACGTAGTGCAGGGGCCTGCCAGAGACTGCGGACGTAGTGCAGGGGCCTGCCAGAGACTGCGGACGTAGTGCAGGGGCCTGCCAGAGACTGCGGACGTAGTGCAGGGGCCTGCCAGAGACTGCGGACGTAGTGCAGGGGCCTGCCAGAGACTGCGGACGTAGTGCAGGGGCCTGCCAGAGACTGCGGACGTAGTGCAGGGGCCTGCCAGAGACTGCGGACGTAGTGCAGGTGTGGTACATGAGACTGTATGGATTGGTGCTCCCAGTACTGGTTGCTGGCACAGTGGGCAGTACAAGTGCCTAAGAGGCACACCCTTTTGCTAGATGTCCCAGTGCAGGGCTCTTTTGCAGCATATTTGGTTTGGGTTTAGATGCGCTATATAAGAAAAACTTGGTTCGGTGGATAAAAAATAATTTTGTTTAAGCTATTCACCCCCGATTACCCTCCTCATCCATTGTGGCCCAATAGTCCCCTGCTTGTACGCAGTCCGCTTGTTCGTCAAGAATTGACTCCCTTTAGCCCCATTCATCTATGGTCACCTGTTCTTCCTGAATCACCCCAATCTTATGTTTTATGTACGGAATCCTAATCTTTACATAAATGATTTGGGTGTTTTTGGTTTTATGGGATCTAGTAGGGTTCTTTTGTACATAAATATATCATGACACTGTAAAGGGGATTTACTTGGCACTTTATCGGGGGATCACAGGGCTCTGTCTTGACCTTCCTCTCCATCTTGCAGGGCGACGTCGTACGAAAATTAAAAGAAGAGAAAGCTCCTCAGGTCGATGTGGACAGAGCCGTGGCAGAGCTGAAAGCCAGAAAAAGGACTTTGGAAGCCAAGGTACAAATCTTCTCACGCTCACTGATTCTCAAACAAAAACATGACAGCTGGTCTTATTGGGCCGTGTTGTGCAAACAACCAGTGAGATTAAAGTACAAAGAACTATTTTTAAATTTCTATTTAGAACTTAGACCTCAGAGTGAAACTTAGGTCAGAACTTCCTCTGCTAGTTTGGGAAAGAGAACCTCTCTCAGGTGTTTGTTCCCCCACTGGAGCAATTTAGAAATCCTTTTTAGCAGAAGTAAAGGAAATTGTTGCTGATGAGGAAACCGAAGTATAAAACATTACAGAGGCTCTAACCCAGGAGTAGGCAACCCTAGCGAGATCTACTTGGTTTATGACATGATTTATGACACCCTCCAGCTACCCCCTAGGTCAGTGGTCGGCAAGCCGCGGCTCGCGAGCCACATGCGGCTCTTTACACACTTTAATGCGGCTCTTCTGTGTGCCGGGCGCCCGCTCCCCTCCCTCCTCTCGGGCGGCCGCCCCAAAAGTCAGGACTCTGCAGCTAGCCCAGCAATGGGCAAACTACGGCCCGTGGGCCGTATACGGCCCGGCGGACCTTTTAATCCGGCCCGCGGAGCGTGGCAAACATTGGCTGTCAGGATGTAGGCGGGGCAGCGTGACAAACTCCTCTCCTCTCACAGTCCGCCCTAAAGACCGGAACGGCGCGGGAACACGGCGAGAGGAACGTGCGGAGCAAAGGTAAGTGAATTGACACAATATGGGGAATGAATTACTATATGGGGGATGAATTACTATATGGGGGATGTATTTTCAGTTTTAAAAATGTGGCTCTCAAAATAAATTTCAATCGTGGTTTTGGCGAGATTTGGCTCAGTTGAAAAAAAAGGTTGCCCACCACTGCCCTAGGTAATGGTCTCCTCGCATTAGTGGTCAGTGAGAATCCCCAATAACCTGCTCTTTAAAGTGTTCCTAAACCCAGGAACCTGCATTCACTATATCCGGTCTCCCAGGACCCTGCATTCACTATATCCGGTCTCCCAGGATCCTGCATTCACTATATCCGGTCTCCCAGGACCCTGCATTCACTATATCAGGTCTCCCCGGACCCCGCATTCACTATATCAGGTCTCCCCGGACCCCGCATTCACTATATCAGGTCTCCCCGGACCCCGCATTCACTATATCTGGTCTCCCCGGACCCTGCATTCACTATATCTGATCTCCCCGGACCCTGCATTCACTATATCTGGTCTCCCACAGTACACACAACATGGAAATGCAATTATTTCAGTAAATATAAACTGCTAAATACCTTTTCTCATCAGCAGTTAGAGCAGTCTTGTGACTTCTATCAGTGTCCAGCCAAGCACTAGCTAAAGCTGGTAGGAGGAGTTTTTTTTTCTGCTCTGGGAGAATGCAAAACTTCTGACCTCTGTCTGGACAGTGCTAATTGGACCTGTGCTGATCACATGCACTCTCCCAAGAAAAAAAAAAAACCTCTAGCAATACACACCAAACTGAGCACGTGCAAATGCCTACGGTTTAGTTTGTCTTATCAGGAGATAAGAGGTGGTGGCTTTAAAAAGGGGAGAAACAGAGAAGACAGAATGAAACGTCCTTTTTACACAATGCAGAGGATTAACCCCTTAGGTTCCACAGTGAGTATAACTAGCATGATTTACTGCATCTACAGACTGATTGTACTGTTGTGGGTTTAGTAACACTTTAACATCAGTGGCCAGTGGAGTGCCCTAGTAATATCCTCTTCTAAATTGGTGGTCAGCGGAGAGCCCCAGTAACATGCAATCTTACCTTTGTGGATGGTGGGTCCTTCCGTTATAATGCCTCCTTTATACTGTTACCTTTTTATAGTAATATCCCCATTGCTACCCTGCCACCCCTGTGCCACAGATATATTTTCCGTGCCACCAGTATGTCCCCCCAAGTTCAACTCTCATGTTGTCAGTAGTGATTTCCGTCATGCTCTCTTATCCAGAATGGTGCAGGGAAGAAGCGGTGAGATGTAGTGACTTGTTTTGGCACTCTGGTACCCAACCAAATCCACCTCCCGCATCCATCTCACGTGCTTGCATGTGATATCACATATAAGCTTCTGGAATGAATGCCAGGGGAGAATTGCAGAGATCAGAGGGGCAGAAAAGGTAGCTGTCTTAACACTGCTTCCCTCTGCTGCTCTGGATATGGGAGGGAAAAGCACATCTGATGTGGATGGTCGCCCCATGGAGACACGATCGACCCATCTCCTGGCAGCATTTCATGAGTAGATCACAAATGAACCTCCTCTGACCCTTGTTCTAACCCTTTCCTGCGACTGTCTAGATTTAAAGGGTTTTGTCCACTTTTGTGCCTTTTATACTTTTCCTTTCCACCATGCTTGATGAAGAGAACGGTATTTCTGCTAAGCTATATTCATTTAACTGATAAAAGATTCCTCTTCTGGTTTTTGTTTCTTGCTCTTCTCTATGACAAACCTAATATAACACAATGCTTCCAGTCCTTGCAGTTCTGGCATCATAAATATACACACATGGGGGTTTATTTACTAAAGCTGGAGAGTCCAAAATCAGACTCCCTTCTGCATAGAAACCAATCAGCTTCCAGGTTTCATTGCCAAAGCTTCATTGAACAAGCTGAGGTTAGAAGCTGATTGGTTTCTATGCAGAAGGGAGTCTGATTTTGGACTCTCCAGCTTTAGTAAATAAACCCCACTAGGTCACCAGTAGGAAATGAGGTGCACAAGTTATTTCTGTACTCTCCTCTGCAGAGCTATGATTCTTAAAGCGCTTCACTTTTAGCGAACTTGTTCTTTAACCCCCCTGGCGGTATTCCCGAGTGTAGTTTGGGGTTAATTATCAGTGCCAAAAGCGGTAACCCCGAGCTACACTTGGGATTACACTGCAGCGTTGCTCCGGGATCCCTCTAGCACTTACCTTGTCCTGCGCTCCTGTGATGTGTCCCGTGCAGTGTCCCCGGCCATCTCCTCTGGCCGATGCCAGCGGCTGTCTTCTAGGTTCCAGTCCCTGTGAGCGTCAGGACATACGGGGGACTGAACTGGCGGGAAATGTAAAAATTTTAAAAAGTGACATTCACTAATACACTAAAATCTCATAGTATAACATTCCTGTATCAAACCATTTCATATACATTTTGTCCCGAGTGCTTTGTCCGGCGCCCTGCCTGCATTTTTACTGTTCTTTCTGCCTGGAAATTGAGAAACGTCCATGGCGTCCAAAAAGCGTCCCTTTAGGTCAAAAGCGGTTTTAGACCGGCTAGAGAACAGCGATATTAAATGAGAACCACTTGCAGAATTGAGTGATAATGATTGGTGGGGGAAATTCCTCATCAGGCACTGAAAACGATTCTGCGACTTTGCTCAGTGATGTGCGAACTTGGTGCTCTATTTCACATTTCAGTGTTTTTGGTTTGATTATATTATTGAATTAAATTGTATTATTCTATTTTGTTTATGATTATTTATTATATTATAATTTATGATTTTGTGTTTAAAATTTTATCCTACCCGGGATGTTTACTAGACTCTTGTTCGGACAGATTTCAGTGAGTTATTCCTAAGAATTACAGGCTACAATAAAAAAAATTTTTCCATGCAAAAAAAAGTACCTCTGAGCACATAAATATGGACATAATCAGACTGCTAGGGAGGTTAAATGTCCACACAACCCTCTTCCTTATATCCCCGATCCTGAAATTCTTTACTATGCAACCCTGCCTGGCACCAATCACCACAGATGTGCCAACAGTATCTAGCTCATGTACACCGCTAACGCATGCACTTTAAAGGAAAACTTCACTTTTACTGAAATTGTGTTTTTTTTATGATCCCCTAACTTGAGTCGCAGCATCCCAACAAAATACGTTCCTTCAGTTCCCCTCCCAAGTTCTTCAATGTAACATGGTGCAGCACAGCCTCATACAGCTTTTTTACATGCCCAATCCATATGGCTGGTCCATACTCATGGTGCCCCCAGCCATCCAGGGGAATACAGCTCCAGCTATAGCAATGAATCGGCTGAGTGGCGCATATACATTGTAGGAGTTGACCCAGATTGCAACTTTTTTTTTTCTGCAAAGTCTGTGCTGCTCCATTCGCACTTGAGAGCTGGACTGAAGGTATATTGGTAGGTGGCTGCCATTCTGGAAGTTGAAAGGCCTAATTAAAAGACAGTTTCTGTACAAGTAAAGTTGTCCTTTACCAAGATTAGAATCTCTAACAGTATATTCTAAACGGCTTCCAGAAGGCAATAGGTAGCAGATACTGGCAAATACCTTCCATCGGGCCCCCCCCCCACATCTACAGCTCCACAGATTCTTGAAAATTTGGGGGCTCTTGTTATAAAAACCACCCTCACCTAGCACAAGCCCACCTGTTGTATTAATGTGTGTGCAAATGGGCCAAAGTGCCAACCTCTGGCTGTAGTTGGTATTTATATACTAGAGCATGCTGTATTTCAGGGCCCCCAACATCTACTTAAAGCGAAGTTCCAGTCACACTGTAAAAAATAGTCAGCAGCTACAAAAACTATAGCTGCTAACTCTTAAACAGCCACTTACCTGTCCCACACGATCCCACAGTGTCCTCCCAGCAACCCGTTTCACCAGCCGTCTGATGTTCAAGGCATCGGTATCTTCATTCTGGTCACCGCCCGGCTGTGACAGCTTTCGGCTTCACAGCCTGGTGCCCACTGCGCATGTGCGAGTAGTGCTGCACTTCCTGAATGGCGCAGTAGTCTTCTGGGACCTGTCACGTGTCCCAGAAGACTACGCGGAAGGAGGGTAGGACAAACTTCCACTTCCAATCACCTAGGCGGTCGCAGTGGGAGCGGGTGCCTGGCAATTTAGCTCCCCAAAGGTGCCCGTCCTTAATAGGGAGCGGGAGACCAGTCTTTAAAGTGGAACTTCCCCTTTTGGATGGAGCTCTGCTTTAACCACTTCCTGTCCGGACACTTTTACCCCCTTCCTGTCCAGGGCAATTTTCAGCTTTCAGCGCTATCACACTTTGCATGACAATTGCGCGGTCATGCAACACTGTACCCATATGAATGTTTTACCCATTTTTTTTATTTGAGACCGATAAAGCTTTATTTTGGTGGTATTTATTCACCGCTGGGATTTTAATTTTTTTTACTATGTAAATGAAAGTCCAAAAATTTGAAAAAAAGTGTTTTTTTTTTTTAATAAAATTTTGCTAATAAATATTTCATCATAAATCTTGGCCAAAATTTATTCCGTTATTTTTTTTATAGTAAAAAAAAAAATCCAAATTAGTTTATAACCAAAAATTATAATTTTTAAACATTTTGTTTGTTACATTTTTATTGAAGATTTTTTTTTTTTTTTACACTGATTGCTTTTACACCCATAAAGGATGTAAAAGCAATCATTTCTCTTTCTCTCTGTCTGCATTCTTGCAGTCATTGAGAAATACTGAGTGAGCTGTGATTGGTCACAGCTTGTTACATGGTACAAGGCTGTTGTGAATAGCCTTGTACCATGTGACCTCTGTGATCATTCACAGATTTCTCACGTAGTAAGCAATGATGTCACAAGTGACATCTTGCTTACTACTTTTGCATGTGATCACTGATTCGTCAATGATCTATCGTCGTCCGACCGGTGTTTTTCACTGTGTCCGGAGGACACAGCGGGCACCAGATCGCGGTGGTGCGCGCTCCCAGGGAGCGTGCACAGCTAGAAAAGGCGGGTGCCGTTTATGAACGGCAACCTGCCGCTGGACTTGCCACCGCCCTGCCGTTTATAAACAGCAGGCGGACGGCAAGGGGTTAAAGATGACAGAAGTTTTGTGCAGCTACCTAGGGACGGGGGCAACTATTGCATCCCAAAGGCAATATACTGTGATTACCAGCATTGTAAATGTTTTCTAGACAGTGCGTCCTAACCTTATTGTAAAAAGGATACAGTAAATTCTTTCAAAAACGTTTGTCCCCCAAAAAGTATGAGAATTCAAAATATGTATTGAAATTGTGGAAGACTCTGCATGGGGCTGGATGTCACTGTAGGGAGATTAGGGTTTCGAGGGGTTTGGGGACTTGGGTGCATTCAGACGTAGGGTGCAGCCTACATGGTGGCCCTATAGAGGATTCAGGATTTTGGAGGGACCCAGGGGCAACTGTGGGGAATTGGGTCTCTGGAGGGGCCTGAGAGTTTTTTGCACAGGCAATGCGGGAAACTATAGTGCACTATGGGGGCCGGGGGCACTTTTGGTGGATCAGTTCGGAGGGGGGGCCTGGAGGCTCTGCAGCAAGCTAGGGGGCACTGTGGGAGGTTGGCATGGTTTGAGGGCTGTTAGGAGGCTCTGGGGCACTTTGGGAGGTTGAGGGGCACTGCAGGCCACTATAGGAGTTGAGAGGCACAATGGGAGTTTAGGGGATCTACAGATAGTTAAAGGCCCAGAAGGAGAGTGCCCACAGCCCCGTGGTTGAGAACCACTGTTCTAGACAAACCCCAACAAGAACCTGCTTTCCTGCAACACCCCCTGCCCCTCCAGTACTGCTGTATGGCAGTGACTTTCAAATGGTTTCTCCAAATTCTCAGGTAATTGAAATATCACCCGCACTTCGGTGCTCCTGCTGTTTGGGCATTAAAAACGCCAAGAGCTGAGAGAACATTGATGAATCGCCTTTGGTCAGTCTTTGATCTCAAATGTGAATGGAGCTCTCCTTTTACACATTATTATTATTATACTGGATTTATATAGTGCCAACAGTTTGCGCAGCGCTATACAAAATTAATACATAAACACAACTGTCATTTATTATAATTTTTTTATGGTATTTTAAGAAAAATACAAAATGTAGACTATGATTCCTGAAACTACGAAGAAGCGCATAAATAAACACTGAAATGGATTGCATTTAGTCACACTATATTATGTATAATTTATTACCCAATAAATGTACTTTTCTGAACTATAGTAGTAGTAATTGTTCCATAAGGCTCTAATTTTGGCTGCTTTATAGGACAGAATTCTGCCCAGTTTCTCTTTTTATAGTTGGTATCCCCAACTCCAAGTGGGAACACCCAGATTATATGGCAGCCAACCACTGACGCATCTGCAAGTAAAACCTGAATTAAATTGGCATCTAGTCAGTGATTTGTGAATAAACCAGTTTTCTCTTCGCTTTCGTGTGATTTGATTGTAGTATTATAGGAGACATTTGTATTTGAAGGCCAGATGGGTTATAGTGAAATCGAACTGGGAACATGAGAAGGGTTGGAACAGTAGGATTCCAGCTCTGATTTGATGTTTATTTATTTCAGGTACTTGTATTGCGTCGTCAATTTACGCAGCACTTTACATATATATTGTACATTCACATCAGTCCCTAACCCTCAAGGGTGTACAATCTAAGGTCCCTAACTCACATTCATACATACACATACTAGGGCCAATTTAGACAGGAGCCAACTAACCTACCAACATGTCTTTGGAGTGTGGGAGGAAACCGGAGTACCCGGAGGAAACCTATGCAGGCACAGGGAGAACATGCAAACTCCAGGCAGGTGGTGCCTTGGTTGGGATTCGAACCAACGACCCCAGTACTGCCAGGCGGAAGATTACACTGTCACTTTGCCCTGTTTGGGTCCTGATTGTCAGAGGGCATTTGTCATAACCAAAACCCTCTACTCCTCAGTCATAATAATGGTGAATCCTTACCTCTCAGAGTTTGCTTGATTTTTTTTTTTTTTAATTACTTGTATTCTCTCCCTGTCAGAGCAGCAGTATCAGGCCGATTGTCATGCTGAAAGGCCATCTTCTCTCATGCTGGAGCTTAGTGTAGCTAACTAATATAAAAACTCGAAGGTGCTGTTAGAACTACATGAAACAAAACTGAGGCTACATTCAGACATATACCCAGCACTGCCGCTCCTCTAAAAAGCAACCCGTCTGCTGATCGTGACCTGTTGGATAGTTTTTGCAGCAACCGTGAAGCATTGCAGCTGTGGTATGTAAACGTCTCCGACCGCTGCTATTGCAAATGAAAGGGGGTGGCATTAAAAATGCAGCTCAACCATGCATTTTTACAACCCCCCAACTGCAGGTCTAAATGAGGCCATGAGGGCTCTTGCACACGGGCATTCCTTTTTTTTTTTTTTTTTTTTTTTTTTCTTTCCCATCAATACGGTCACGTTTTTACTTTTGTTTGTTTTTTTCCTCAAAATTGGAGCTAAACGGATCAAGACTTCACTTTTTAAACTCCATTTTCATATCCATTTACGTCCGTTTTTAATTCGTTTACATCTGTTTTTTCATCAATTTCTCGTCAGTCAGTTTTTATCAATGCAAAAATGGACCATATGTCCGTTTTTATATCTGTTTTTCGTTTGTTTTGTTCCATTTTTCTTTTACGGAAGGAAAAAAGGGTTTTATTTCATTAAAAATAAAACGAATATTAACAGATGCGGACATTACCGGATGTAAACGGATGACTTCACCTCCGCAACATCTCCAAGATACGCCCGTTCCTAACCTCCGAAACCGCTAAGCAACTTATTCACTCCCTTGTTATATCTCGCCTTTGACTATTGTAACTCCCTCCTCATTGGCCGACCTCATCGCAGGCTATCCCCTCTTCAGTCTATCATGAATGCTGCTGCCAGACTCATCCACCTTACTAACTGTTCTGTATCTGCCACCCCTCTCTGCCAATCCCTCCACTGGCCTCCACTCAGTGTCCTCCACCCCTCTCTGCTAATCCCTCCACTGACCTCCACTCAGTGTCCTCCACTGGCCTCCACTCAGTGTCCTCCACCCCTCTCTGCCAATCCCTCCACTGGCCTCCACTCAGTGTCCTCCACCCCTCTCTGCCAAACTCTCCACTCAGTGTCCTCCACCCCTCTCTGCCAATCCCTCCACTGGTCTCCATTCAGTGTCCTCCACCCCTCTCTGCCAATCCCTCCACTGGTCTCCACTCAGTGTCCTCCACCCCTCTCTGCCAATCCCTCCACTGACCTCCACTCCGTGTCCTCCACTCCTCTCTGCCAATCCCTCCACTGACCTCCACTCAGTGTCCTCCACTCCTCTCTGCCAATCCCTCCACTCACCTCCACTCAGTGTCCTCCACCCCTCTCTGCCAATCCCCCCACTGACCTCCACTCAGTGTCCTCCACCCCTCTCTGCCAATCCCTCCACTGGCCTCCATTCAGTGTCCTCCACCCCTCTCTGCCAATCCCTCCACTGGCCTCCACTCAGTGTCCTCCATCCCTCTCTGCCAATCCCTCCACTGACCTCCACTCAGTGTCCTCCACCCCTCTCTGCCAATCCCTCCACTGGCCTCCATTCAGTGTCCTCCACCCCTCTCTGCCAATCCCTCCACTGGCCTCCACTCAGTGTCCTCCATCTCTGCCAATCCCTCCACTGGCCTCCACTCAGTGTCCTCCATCCCTCTGCCAATCCCTCCACTGGCTTCCCGTTGCCCAATGGATAAAATTCAAAACACTAACAATAATGTATAAAGCCATTTATAACTCCGCCCCAAATTACATCACCGATCTTCTCTCCAAATATCACCCAAACCGTACTCTCCGCTCCTCGCAAGACCTCCTACTCTCTAGCTCCCTTGTCTCATCCTCCCATGCTCGTCTCCAGGACTTCTCCAGAGCTTCCCCATCCTCTGGAACTCTCTACCCCAATTTATCTGACTATCTCCTACTCACTTTTAGGCGATCTCTGAAAACCTTTCTCTTCAGGGAAGCCTATCCTGCCCTCAGCTAATACTGGAATCTTCTACTCTTCCAACCAGTCCATCCCCCACAGTTACTACCTTTTGTACCACTAGCCCCTCCTAGATTGTAAGCTCCCAGGATCAGGGCCCTCCTATCCCACTTGTATTGAACTGTATTGTTACTGTATTGTCTCCCATTATATTCTAAAGCGCTGAGCAAACTGTTGGCGCCATATAAATCCTGTATAATAATAATGATCATCTGCTAGTCCATAGAAATACATGGGTGTTCGTTTTTCATCCAAATTGACAGATGAAAAATGGACATACGGAACGTCCATGTAAAAGAGCCCATAAGGTTTTGTTCTTTGGCAGTTTTGCCTTCCTTTCATGGGCCCAGACAGAGAGTCTGTTATAAGCCTTGAGTTCAGGCAACAGAAAGGTCAGCCTCCACAGGGACCTGACAGTTTGACATTGGGCTGACAATTCTCTGACAGGGGAGGCGATTAAATAACAGCGCACACATCTGTCCCTTAGAGCTAAGGATAAACTAAAAAAAAATAGATGGAGTTGGGCTTTAATAACCTTTCCAGTTTGCCAGATTTCCCCCCCAATCAGTTTAAAGTGTTACTAAACCCACAACAGTACAATCAGTCTGTAGATGCAGTAAAGCATGCTTGTTATACTCACTGTAGGACCTAAGGGGTTAATCCTCTGCATTTGTGTAAAAAGGATGTTTTGATCCGGTCTTCTCTGGTCCTCCCCTTCTTCCACATCCCAATTTCATCTCCTGATAGAACACACTCTGGGGGACACTGCACATGCTCAGTTTGGTATGTGCTGCTAAAGAGGTTTTTTTCTCTTTTTTTTTTTTTGGGAGAGTGCATGTGATCAGCACAGGGCCAATCAGCACTGTCCAGACAGAGGGTCAGGGGTTATGCAATCTCATAGGGCAGTGAGAGGAGAATGAAAACGTGTCCTACAAGATTAACCAGTGCTCAGCTGGACACTGATAGAAGTCACAAGACTGCTATATACTGCTGATGAGAAAAGGTATTTAGCGGTTTATAATTAGTAAAATAATTGCATTTCCATGTTCTGTGTACTGTGGGAGACGAGATATAGTGAATGCAGGGTCCGGGGATACCAGATATAGTGAATTCAGGGTCCGGAGATACCAGATATAGTGAATTCAGGGTCCGGAGATACCAGATATAGTGAATGCAGGGTCCGGAGATACCAGATATAGTGAATGCAGGGTCCGGGGAGACCGGATATAGTGAATGCAGGGTCCGGGGAGACCGGATATAGTGAATGCAGGGTCCGGGGAGACCGGATATAGTGAATGCAGGGTCCGGGGAGACCGGATATAGTGAATGCAGGGTCTGGGGAGACCGGATATAGTGAATGCAGGGTCCGGGGAGACCGGATATAGTGAATGCAGGGTCCGGGGAGACCGGATATAGTGAATGCAGGGTCCGGGGAGACCGGATATAGTGAATGCAGGGTCCGGGGAGACCGGATATAGTGAATGCAGGGTCCGGGGAGACCGGATATAGTGAATGCAGGGTCCGGGGAGACCGGATATAGTGAATGCAGTGTCCGGGGAGACCGGATATAGTGAATGCAGTGTCCGGGGAGACCGGATATAGTGAATGCAGTGTCCGGGGAGACCGGATATAGTGAATGCAGGGTCCGGGGAGACCGGATATAGTGAATGCAGGGTCCGGGGAGACCGGATATAGTGAATGCAGGGTCCGGGGAGACCGGATATAGTGAATGCAGGGTCTGGGGAGAGCGGATATAGTGAATGCAGGGTCCGGGGAGACCGGATATAGTGAATGCAGGGTCCGGGGAGACCGGATATAGTGAATGCAGGGTCCGGGGAGACCGGATATAGTGAATGCAGGGTCCGGGGAGAGCGGATATAGTGAATGCAGGGTCCGGGGAGAGCGGATATAGTGAATGCAGGGTCCGGGTCCGGGAGAGCGGATATAGTGAATGCAGGGTCCGGGGAGAGCGGATATAGTGAATGCAGGGTCCGGGGAGAGCGGATATAGTGAATGCAGGGTCCGGGGAGAGCGGATATAGTGAATGCAGGGTCCGGGGAGAGCGGATATAGTGAATGCAGGGTCCGGGGAGAGCGGATATAGTGAATGCAGGGTCCGGGGAGAGCGGATATAGTGAATGCAGGGTCCGGGGAGAGCGGATATAGTGAATGCAGGGTCCGGGGAGAGCGGATATAGTGAATGCAGGGTCCGGGGAGACCGGATATAGTGAATGCAGGGTCCGGGGAGACCGGATATAGTGAATGCAGGGTCTGGGGAGACCGGATATAGTGAATGCAGGGTCTGGGGAGACCGGATATAGTGAATGCAGGGTCTGGGGAGACCGGATATAGTGAATGCAGGGTCTGGGGAGACCGGATATAGTGAATGCAGGGTCTGGGGAGACCGGATATAGTGAATGCAGGTTCCTGGGTTTAGGAACACTTTAAAGAGCAGGTTATTGGGGATTCTCACTGACCACTAATGCGAGGAGACCATTACCTGAGGGGTAGTTGGAGGGTGTCATAAATTATGTCAGAAATCAAGTAGATCTCTCTAGGGTTGCCTACTCCTGGGTTCGAGCCTCTGTAATGTTTTATACTTCGGTTTCCTCATCAGCAACAATTTCCTTTACTTCTGCTAAAAAGGATTTCTAAATTGCTCCAGTGGGGGAACAAACACCTGAGAGAGGTTCTCTTTCCCAAACTAGCAGAGGAAGTTCTGACCTAAGTTTCACTCTGAAACTTACGGTAGACCGGATATAGTGAATTCAGGGTCGGGGGAGACCAGATATAGTGAATGCAGGGTCCTGGGTTTAGCACAAGATGGAGTGGGAACAAATTGCTGCCGCTGAAAAAGCACCATAGATCTTAGTGGTCTTTTGTCCTGTATGGGAAAGTTGTACAAGTCCAACTGATCTGCTATTTGTTTTTATAGGAGTTGTCCCTTCAGCCCAAGGATGATATCGTGGACAGGGCCAAGATGGAGGACACACTCAAAAGGCGCTTCTTTTATGACCAGGCTTTTGCCATATATGGAGGTAAGTGGTGGTGAGGACACCCTTGACACTTGGAAAAAACTGCAAAAAAAAAAAAAATGAAGACATTGCCTACCAGTGTTGGAGAGGGTAAAACCTACTGTGGAAAAAAGTTACCCTTGTTTCTCTCATGGTGACCACAGAGATGAGGGAAACCTCCTCAAAGCTGGATGAGGGTCATCCCCCATCCGAAAATTGCCCAAAGTTCTAATAAATGTATGTGTGTGTATGTATGTATGTATATACATACACACACACACACACACACAACTTCTCTTTTACTTAATTGTGATGGGTGGCAGTTGATCTTAATAAGGAAGTCCTCTGAATTTCCAAGATTCTGGGGTGCTGTAGATGATTGATGGGATGTACCAAGACTGGAATTAAACATTATTCCGACTTTTGATTGGTCCAGATGAGTAACCTCTATTGCTGGAAGGGCAGTATACATACAAAAATTATACTGCAAGCAGTACCACTGCTGAAGCGACCTATTCAGTGGTGTGGGTTTTAGGGAGTTAAAAATGGGAGGCTAGAAAGTGACATATTGCCTCCCAGCTGCCTGTAAAATGTCCTCTGAAAAGCAATTCACAGATCCACTTTTTAGAGGGGCTGGAAGGATTGCCACCAGTGTAAACATGTCCTTTAAAGCAGAACTATACTTGCAGAAATACTCGCCTCCCTATTCCTGCACTGTTGTTAAATCCCTTGTGGGTCACTTTCATCTTCTCCCCCAGCTACTTCCAGGTGGTGAGTTTTCAGCCTGCTGATTGGCCAGGTATATACCAGTTCTCAGCTCACTACAGTCTGGTCATGCGGCAGCTGCAAGGGAGAGGAGGGAGCGTTCAATGGCTGGGAATGCATGGGAGGGAAGACGTCACCCACAGGCTCCCATGTCCCAACCGTTGTCACTGCTCCTTCCTCTCCCCTGCAGCCATCACTGGCTGACAAAGGGGATCCTTGACCAGACCTGAAGTGAGCTGAAAATAGGTAATTTACTTTTTTTCTAATAGTTATTTATTTTAATTTTTTTTTACAAAGGTTAGCCAGCATGGGTTTTTGGAGGGGGCATTTTTAAAACTAGGTAGGCTTATGCTAGAATTCTTCTTAACCACTTACTAACTGCTCTATAGCCGAATGACAGCTACCGCACGGTTGTCCAGTTCTGGGAGGGCGTCATATGATGTCCTCCCAGAATGCTCCCAGTGGCGCACACCTGGCAATCTCCATGATCGCTGTGTCCTACCGACACAGCTGATCATGTGATGACGTAAAAGGCCAATCACAGCAGCCTTTTACCCATGTGATCAGCTGTGTCCAATGACACAGCAGATCACGGAATACAGTTGCCGGTTTTCGGCAGCACTTTCCTCATGCTGTCACAGAGCAGATCGCCACTGATGATCAGCGCACTGCAGTGCCGCCCAGCAATGCCTCCCACAAGTGCCCGTCATTGCCGCCTATCAGTGACCATCCTCATCAGCGCTGCCTATCAATGCTGCCCATCAGTGCAGCCTCATCAACACACATCCAGTGAAGGAGAAAAATTACTATTTATATTTATTTATTTATTTATTATTTATTTATTTTATAAAATATTAATGTTATAATAGAAACAAAGAAAAAAGTTTTTTTTTTTTTTTTGTTTTTTTTTTATAGTGCAAAAAATAAAACGCCCAGTGATGATTAAATACTATCAAAAGAAAGCTCTATTTGTGTGGAAAAAAATGATATAAATTTAATATGGGTACAGTGTTGCGTTACTGCACAGTTGTCATTCAGTGTGCAACAGCGCTGAACGCTGATTATTGGCCTGGGCACAAAGGGGGTAAAAGTGCCCGATAGGCAAGTGGTCATGTTTGGTTCCATTTTAAGGTATAGCACGTTTAAAGCCCACCAATAACCTTACCAGGTTTAAAGAAGTTATATATTTTTTCTTTACCCCACGAAAGCAACCACCTGTCATGCAGACTTTCTCCTACCCTTCAAATAAGATCATTTACATCCCGGGGTTAGTGTAGCTCCCACTTTACATCTGTCCCATTGAAGCGTAAGCGCTGCCATGCTCACAGACCCCATCGCTTAGGTCGTGTTTCCACCTCCCTGTCCTCCTGGCCATTCACATAATGAATCCTGGGGCTGTGTTTTGTGAATGGCCCGGAGGAGAAGGAGGCGGTGGGATCTAGGAGCCCTACAGCGCTTACATCTGTCCCATTCAAGCTTAAGCGCTGCCATGCTCAGACCCCACCGCTTTAGTGTTTCCACCTCCCTGTCCTCCTGTCCATTTACAAAATGAATCCTGGGGCTGTGTTTTGTGAATGGCCCGGAGGAGAAGGAGGCGGTGGGATCTAGGAGCCCTACAGCGCTTACATCTGTCCCATTCAAGCGTAAGCGCTGCCATGCTCAGACCCCACCGCTTTAGTGTTTCCACCTCCCTGTCCTCCTGTCCATTTACAAAATGAATCCTGGGGCTGTGTTTTGTGAATGGCCCGGAGGAGAAGGAGGCGGTGGGATCTAGGAGCCCTACAGCGCTTACATCTGTCCCATTCAAGCGTAAGCGCTGCCATGCTCAGACCCCACCGCTTTAGTGTTTCCACCTCCCTGTCCTCCTGTCCATTTACAAAATGAATCCTGGGGCTGTGTGTTTTGTGAATGGCCCGGAGGAGGTGGTGGGATCTAGGAGCCCTACAGCGCTTACTACTGAGTAGCGTGGAAGTACAGCGGGAGCTCTGCTAATCCTGCAATGTAAACAAGCAGATCTGAGCAGGACCCTCTGATTCCTCTTGTACCAAATTGTAACGTCGGTCTTCGTTTTGTGAAGCGCTGCGCAAACTGTTGGCGCTATATAAATCCTGTATAATAATTTGCAGAATGTAGGTGAAAGAGCGTGCATGATGGGGGGTTGCTTTTGAGGAAAATAAATGTTTTTTACTGCTTTAACCCTGGTAAGGTTGTAAAAAAAAAAAAAGTAGGGGTATCTCTGCCCTCTATTGTGAAGTATTTAATATTACAGCTTATTTTTGTACTGTGGCACAATGAGACTTTGGTTTCCTGTTGTGTGATCCCTCTATAATTTCATAAATCTGGGATTAGAGCAAGCTGTGTGTTGTGACAACAAACTATGCAACATGCCTTTTCCATAAAAGAACATTAAAGTGATCCCGTCTTTAAATCAACCACCTTCAGAGAGAAGCATGCAGTATCCATAAATGAGGACTGTGGATATTTATATTGTAAAGCGCTGAGCACACTGTTGGCGATACATAAATCCTGTATTATAATAATATAACCTTTCCGCTGCCCCCGCCGCCAGAATGCCTCTCCATGACGTATGATAAAAATAATTGTAGACACTTACTGGGTTTCCAAACCCACGTAGCAGAATACATTTTGGCCTTCATTTGTGAAGAAATTTTACTTTTTTATTTTTTTTTATGGGGTATGTTTTATAGCACAAAGTTAATTTATAACCATTTATAATTCCAAAAATAAAAAACACAGTGATGATCACATACTATCAAAAGAAATCTTTATTTGTGTGAAAAAGATTATATAAATTTCCTTTTTATACAGTTCTTCATGACCACACAATTGTCAATTTAAAGTAGTGCAGTGCCATATAGCAAAAATAGCCTGGTCATGGGGGGGGGGGGGGGTGAATCTTCTGAAGGCCAAGTGGTTAGCATGCACTGTAACACCCTCTAACCACTTGTTAACCGCGCTATAGCTGAATACCAGCTACGGCATGGTTGTCCAGTTCTGGGAGGGAGTCATATGACATCCTTCCAGATCGCGCCCCCAGCGGCGCGCACCCGGCGATCTCCATGATCGCTGTGTCATATGGACACAGCTGATCACATGAGGTAAAAGGCCAATGACAGCAGCCTTTTGCCACGTGATCAGCTGTGTCCAATGACCGTTAATACAGTTGCTGGTTATCGTCACAGCGTGAGGAAAATACTGCCAATAACCGGCAGATGGCACAGAGCAGATCGGCACTGATCATCAGGGCACTGAAATGATGATCAGTGCCACCCAGCAGTTGCCAGTGCCGCTCATTAGTGCAGCATCATCAGTGCCTCTTCATCAATGCCCACCAGTGTCATCTCATCAGTGCAGCCTATCAGTACTGTCTATCTGTGCCACCTCATCAGTTCATCAGTGCTGCCCATCAGTGCAGCCTCATCAACGCACATCAGTGGTGGAGAAAAATTACCTGTTTGCAAAATTTTATAATGGAAACAAAGAAAAACTTGTTTTACTTTCAAATTGTTTTTGTTTATAGTGCAAAAAATAAAACCGCCAGTGGCGATTTTATACCACCAAAAGAAAGCTCTATTTGGGTGAAAAAAATTATGAAAATGTCATATGGGTACAGTGTTGCATGATTACGCAATTGTAATTCAAAGTGCGACAGCGCTGAAAGCTGAAAATTGGTAGGCTAGTGCAGAACTTTACTCTCTGTCAGCATTGACTATTTTTAATCCTTATGCTGCTAGCATTAGTAAAAAGATAGATAAGTATATTATATCTACTTGTTTTAAACTTTTTTTTTTTTTTTTCTCCCACTATTCTTTAGTTACTTCCTGGTTTCCATGCCTAGGCAAATGATGTCATACATCCCAGGAGACTTCAGGAGGGGAGAGGGGGCATTCTCAGCACACCCTTCTGCGTGCTTGCCTGGGCTAAGGGCAGATGGTTTCCAGAAAGTCAATGCTACATGAATCATCTGCCCTTACTCAAGATGGCCCTGACCAGACATGCTAGAAGGTGTTTTTCAAAGTGATTTCTCAGCAGAATAAAGCATGGTGACATGGATGGGGGAGTTTGCTTTGAACATTGAAAAAAGACTAAATAGCACTTTTGATTTTTTGGTGCTCATACAGTGTAGTTCCACTTTAAGGGGTGTGTTTTAGCACACAGCACTTGTGTGATCCAGGCCTTAAAGTGTTACTAAACCCACAACAGTGCAATCAGTCTGTAGATGCAGGAAAGCATGCTTGTTATACTCACTGTGGAACCAAAGGGGTTAATCCTCTGCATTGTGTAAAAAGGCTGTTTGATCCTGTCTTCTCTGCTCCTCCCTTTTTCAGGCGACCACCACTTAGCTACAGACTGAACCGTAGGCATGCAGATGCTCAGTTTAGTGTGTATTGCTAGAGGGGGGTTTTTTTTTTTTTTTTTCCTTAGGAGAGTGCTTGTGATCAGCACAGGGCCAATCAGAACAGTGTTTTGGTAACGCTGGTAACATTAGCTGTGTAAAGTCACGTTAAAACCATGAGGTTTTTTTAGCGTATTTGCATAGTTTAGCATTTTTTTTTTTTACTGGTCAAAAAAACTTTAAAAAATGCCAGTTTGCGGCATTTTGCCACATTTTTCAGCGGAAGAGCGTATTTACAGCTGAAAACCTCCTCTAGAAACCCACTAGTCCTAGGGTTTTTTCCTGCCCAAAAACGCTGATTCCAGTCTATGTGCGCACGGACACATAGGATAACATGCTGGGGGGTTTACTGGCTGTAGAAAAAAACTTCAAAAGCCAAAAACAGCCGCTGTAAAAACGTCCCGTGTTCATGACAACTAAACGTGATTAGTATTTTAACCACTTCCAGACCGGACACTTTTACCCCCTTCCTGACCAGGGCAATTTTCAGATTTCAGCGCTATCACACTTTGAATGACAATTGCGCAGTCATGCAACACTGTACCCAAATTAATTTTTTACCATTTTTTCGAGACAGATAAAGCTTTATTTTGGTGGTGGTATTCACCGCTGGGACTTTTATTTTTTTTGCTATGTAAATGAAAAAGTCCAAAAATTTTGAACAAAAGTGTTTTTTTTTTTATAAAATTTTGCAAATAAATAATATTTCATCATAAATCTTGGCCAAAATTTATTCCGTCATCTTTTTAGTAAAAAAACAAACAAAAACAAATTAGTTTATAACCAAAAATTATAATTTTTAAACATTTTTTTTTTATTTTTATTTTTTTTTTTATATTATTGTTTATTTTTTTTACATACTGTCACCCTAGCAGTACAGTGTCACCATGGTGACACTACTACTTGTGGGGGGTGATGAAAATTTTCTTTTTAATTTTTTTACACTGATTGCTTTTACACCCATATAGGATGTAAAAGCAATCATTTCTCTTTCTCTCTGTGTGCATTCCTGCACTCATTGAGAAGTACTGAGTGAGCTGTGATTGGTCACAGCTTGTCACATGGTACACGGCTGTTGTGAATAGCCTTGTACCATGTGACCTCTGTGATCATTCACAGATTTCACACGTAGTAAGCAATGATGTCACAAGTGACATCTTGCTTACTACTTTACATGTGATCACTGATTGGCCAATCAGTGATCACATGATCGGGACCTCGTACAGAGGTCCCGTCCGACGATCGATGTTTCACTGTGTCCGGAGGACACAGCGGGCACCGGTTCGCGGTGCTGCGCGCTCCCAGGGAGCGCGCACAAGCAGGGTGCGGGGAGGCCGTTTATAAACGGCCACCCGACCCTGCACTGCCACCGTCCAGCCGTTTATATGCAACGGCCAGTCGGGAAGTGGTTAATGAAGGGCAAAAGGCAGAGCCAGGAAAGTCCAAATATTAGCAGATTAAACTTCTTTTTAAAGGTTGTCACTGGACAAGTGGTCTGGTGGGGAAGAGATCGGTCACGTTCAGCTATGTTTCTGTGACCAGAAATGATGGCTTTCCGGCAAGACAAATGGCAAAAACCCCCGAGGTTTTCACACCTCCATATATCTAACATTTTCAGCTTGTTTATATTTTACTATGTTAGCTATTGCTCATCACATATTTAGGTGCAATGTAAATTTATGGCTGGCTTACCGTTGTCATCTGTTTCAGGGGTCAGCGGATTGTATGACTTCGGGCCTGTCGGCTGTGCGCTGAAAAACAACATCATCCAGACATGGAGACAACACTTCATACAGGAGGAGCAGATCCTGGAAATTGACTGCACCATGCTGACCCCAGAGTCTGTTCTCAAGTAATTATTCCGACTCTTCTGCTACCTGTATTGTCATTAGCAAATGACACCCAAAACCAATTTCTTGTTTAGGGTGGGCACTGAAGAGCTACCATCTGCCAGCTTCTTATAATATCTGATCCTTCCAGGTCCTCATTCTTCCAGTTGTAAATAAAAAAACAAAACCCACCGATGAAGGGCAAGGACAGCATTGCTTGACATAACGTATCAAGTTAGAATTTCTCGCAGAAGGTTCTTTCAACACGTTTCCTGATGGCCAGTAACAGGAATGGACAGCCATATTGGCCAGTAGAGATGAAAGGCAAAGGGGGTCAATATAGCAGGAACTGCTGAAATTTTGCATATTAAAATGCCTGTAAAATTGTGGCACCTCAAGTACTTCACATTGGCTAAATTATTATTATACAGGATTTATATGGCGCCAACAGTTTGCTCAGCGCTGTACAATATAAGGGAGACAGTACAAATACAATACATTTCAGTACAGAAGGAATAGGAGGGCCCGGCTCATGGCGCTTACAATCTAAAGGAAGGGGGAGGTGATACAAAAGGTGATAGCTGGGGGGGATGATCTGGTGGTTTCAAGTACAATTCTTAGGTGGAGGTGGGGTAGGTTTCCCTGAAGAAGTGAGTATTCAAAGATCGCCTAAAGGCAGACAGGGTGGGGGCTGACCGGACATGCTGTGGTAGGAGGTTCCAGAGGATGGGAGAGGCTCTGGAGAAGTCCTGGAGGCAAGCGTGGGAGGAGGTGATGAGGGAGCTAGAGAGGAGGATATCATGGGAGGAGCGGAGTGGGCGATTGTACATTCACATCAGTCCCTAACCTTCAAGGGGCTAAATGGTTAGCACTTCTGTCTGGCAGTACTAGGGTCGTTTGTTCAAATCCCAGCCACGGCACCACCTGCCTGAAGTTTGCATGTTCTCCCTGTGCCTGCGTGGGTTTCCTCCGGGTACCCTGGTTTCCTCCCACACTCCAAAGACATGCTGGTAGGTTAATTGGCTCCTGTCTAAAATTGGCCCTAGTATGTGTATGTAGGAACGTGAGTTAGGGACCTTAGATTGTACACCCCTTGAGGGTTAGGGACTGATGTGAATGTACAATATATATGTAAAGTGCTGCGTAAATTGACGGCGCTATATAAGTACCTGAAATAAATAGGTACTGCAGTAGCTTGGCCAGGTGCCTATTTGTAAGCCAGTCCAATACCTTTATGGTGCTAACAGGTTTAATTTAGACCTATTCTATCATACATTGTCACCAGTATCTCTTTAGTAGGTGTCCGTGCTGGAGTAAAAAAGGCTCTAGAACAGACTTTGTCAACAATTTTTACCCTAGAGGAACCCCTAAAATTTCCTAGTCTTGGGGAACCCCTACTAAAACCATTTTATGAGGGGTCAATGGCAAAAATGGCTCTTACGTCAGTGGTCATTAGAATACCACCCTTTCAGAAAGCTTTCAAGATTATTGGTGTCATGCTGCTGGCTTTGCCAAGTGATGTTGCTCCTGGACCTATACAGGCACTCTGTGACAGCCGGGTGCCCAGTGCGCATGCGCGAGAAGCGCTGCGCTTTGTGATTGGTCCGGCGTCTTCTGGGACCTGTCGTGTCCCAGAAGACACCGTACTATTCACAAAGCACAGCTCTTCTCACGCATGCGCACTGGGCACCCGGCTGTCACAGCCAAGAGCCCAACACTAAAGATGCTGACGCGGGAAGCCTTTGCAACGCTGGACCGAGGAACAGGTAAGGTCCTGCTGCAGAGAAGAGACGAGCAGTCTGCCCAGTATTCTGACATGGCGGCGGTGGGAATACCGGACCGGCCGCTCCATATTTGCTCCATAAGACGCACTGACATTTTCCCCCTTTTTTTGGGGGGAAAAAATGTGTCTTATGGAGCGAATAATACGGTAATTGAAATGTCAGTGATATTTCATAAAGTTCTACTGGCCATTGTGCGGTGTGAGGCGGTGGACTGCCTGAAGCTGCTTTGAAAAACGTACTGCGTGCTGGATCCCGCAGATCACCACAACGCAATGGTGTGAACTGGGCACACAGGAGACGTGCGTCTGACATTTTGCCTTGTCATGAGGTGGGACTGCGCTGAAATAGACACCGACCGCAGTCCCACCGAATCTGGAGTGAATCAACCGTTACATGGGCCAGACTAGCAAATTAAAGCTCTAGCTCACACTTTTTGAGCAGTTACAACAGTCTTTTCCTTTTGGGATAAAGGTTTTTACATAAATGAATTAAAGCTGACCATTGTAAGCACCCCGTCAGTAAAATATTTTTTGTCGACCCTCTAACCGCCACTTTTGCTTGGTCTGTAAAGGAAGTTGAAAGATAGCGGACTTACTGGCCAGATCACCAGGTGAAAATAAAGGGAAAAAAAAAGCTTAAAAAAAAAAAAAACTAATGTAGCCAACACATCAAAAAGTAGCAAGGTGCAATATACTGTAGTCATGTTTTTGTTTTGGGGTTTACTACTGCTTTTGGGGACCTCTAGCAACTTATGGAGGAGCCCTAGTGGAGAATGGCTGTTCTGGGAGTTGTGTTTTTATTGGACTGTACTTGCAACCCGCTGTATCACTTAACTGTGCATGAGACATCCATGGAATTGCACAACTGATATGATGGTCTAGATTTTTAAATACAAGGTCGTTTCATTATTTTATTGCATTTTGGTTACACATGGCACCCTCCTATTTACATTTTAGGACATCTGGGCACGTTGACAAGTTTGCCGATTTTATGGTGAAAGATGTCAAGAACGGTGAATGCTTCCGGGCCGACCATCTTCTAAAAGGTGATAATCTACAGCTAGCACCTTCAGGAACACTTCAGCCTCTGCAACCCCTTCCTCTCCCTTAATAATAAAAATCCTCTGCTCGTTGCTTGTGCACTCGTCCTTTACCCACCTTAAGCAGCCCATAGATTCTGCGCTTTTCTTTCCTTCCACCACAGGTATAAGGGCTGGTTCACACTGTAGAAACGCAGTCCAGATGTGTTCCGGATACGCTTCTGGTGTGTTCCGGTGCATTTCTGATGCGTTCCAGTTAATTTTTTCCCCCTCACTTTTTCTTCAATTTTAAGTAGAGACGTGTGCGTTCCAGTAAGTTTTTTTTTTTTTTTTTTTTTTTTTTTTTTTTTGGTGCATTTTTGAAGCGTTTTACTGCGTTCCAGTACAGTTCTGTGCAGGAAAAATGCAGCCTGTTCTTTTTTTCTTTTCTGCATCCGGAACGCACTGGAACTGCAAGCACTGATGTGATCTATGACAGTGACAACCATATAATCTACTTTCTGTGCGTTTGGATGCAGAAATTAAAAGCAACTGAAACACATATAGTGTGAACTGGCCCGAAGGAAAGAATATCGCTCAATTACCCCCATCAACAGTCAGGGTTGATGGGGTAATCCCTCTCGCAGCGCTGTTGTGTTCTGCTGGAAAGGAACATTCCCTGCCGGCAGAACAGAATGATTACTGACAGCACCTATAGCCAACGGTAGTGATCGCATGACGAAAAATCCAACAGGCTGGTTGTATTCAAGTCGTTTGATTGACTTAGGTACAACCAGCCTGCCCATAGAGGGATCGAATCTTGGTCGGTTTCTGCTGAACCAGCTGAGATACGATCCACATTTGGTCGGCTTAACTCTCCTGTCTTCTCCACACATTGCTTGTGCCTTCTCCTCACATTGCTTGTGCCTTCTCCTCACATTGCTTGTGCCTTCTCCACACATTGCTTGTGCCTTCTCCACACATTGCTTGTGCCTTCTCCACACATTGCTTGTGCCTTCTCCTCACATTGCTTGTGCCTTCTCCTCACATTGCTTTGTCTTCTCCACACACATTGCTTGTGCCTTCTCCTCACATTGCTTGTGCCTTCTCCTCACATTGCTTGTGCCTTCTCCTCACATTGCTTGTGCCTTCTCCACACATTGCTTGTGCCTTCTCCTCACATTGCTTGTGCCTTCTCCACACATTGCTTGTGCCTTCTCCTCACATTGCTTGTGCCTTCTCCTCACATTGCTTGTGCCTTCTCCACACATTGCTTGTGCCTTCTCTCACACATTGCTTGTGCCTTCTCCACACATTGCTTGTGCCTTCTCCACACATTGCTTGTGCCTTCTCCTCACATTGCTTGTGCCTTTCTCCTCACATTGCTTGTGCCTTCTCCACACATTGCTTGTGCCTTCTCCACACATTGCTTGTGCCTTCTCCACACATTGCTTGTGCCTTCTCCACACATTGCTTGTGCCTTCTCCACACATTGCTTGTGCCTTCTCCACACATTGCTTGTGTCTTCTCCACACATTGCTTGTGCCTTCTCCACACATTGCTTGTGCCTTCTCCTCACATTGCTTGTGCCTTCTCTCCACACATTGCTTGTGCCTTCTCCTCACATTGCTTGTGTCTTCTCCTCACATTGCTTTTGTCTTCTCCATTGCTTTTGTCTTCTCCACACATTGCTTTTGTGCCTTCTCCACACATTGCTTTTGTCTTCTCCACACATTGCTTTTGTCTTCTCCACACATTGCTTTTGTCTTCCACACATTGCTTGTGCCCTTTTTTCCTCCTCTCTCCCCCTTTTTTCCTCCTCTTTCCCCATTTTTTCCTTTCTTTCCCCATTTTTTTTCCTCCCCCTTCTTTCTTCTCTCCCCCCTTTTTTCTCTCCTCCTCTTTCCTTCTCTCTCCCCCTTTTTTCCTTCTCTCTCCCCCTTTTTTCCTTCTCTCTCCCCCTTTTTTTCTCCTCCCCTTCTTTCCTTCTCTCTCCCCCTTTTTTTTTCTTTTTTTCCCTCCTCTCTCCACTTTTTTTTTTTTTTTTCCCTCCCCTTTCCCCTCTCCCTTTTTTTTCCTTGTCCACCCCCCCCCCCCCATTCCTTATTTCCAGTAGAGAATTTTTATACTTGATTGCAAGGCTAATGATACTACTCGCAGGACTGTAGTCATTTTCTGTCCTCATTCTAAAGGTTGTTTATTTGGCAGCTCATCTCCAGAAACTAATGTCTGACAAAAAGTGCGCAGCAGAGAAGAAAGCCGAGATGGAGAGTGTGCTAACACAGGTGAGCAGTGTTCTCTGTGGAAGTCGTGTGATTGGTGGCTCAGCTGTCATGTTTTGTTTTTTTTTTGTTGTTTTTGTTTGCTAAGGTTTTTTTATTTATGAAAGGGTTGCATCACCTGCACATGAAACGTGTCATTGTACAAGTGTTTCTCAGCAGAGAGATCATGGTGTTGACATTATTTATAGTACAGATAGTATAGTCACCTGACTAAAAATACAAACCGTTGTTGATACGACAGGCCAACCTGTACACACAAATAAACATTGCTTTCAAATATGAGTGGTCGCAATCCAAACGTAGCGATGTCGCCCGATTGTTATCCAGAAATAACAGAACATACATTTGGTGAAGTTCCCAGAGTGGTGGAGAAGGAAAATGGGATCGGGATCCTAGTAAAATGAATGGTAAGGAAAAGGGGAGGGCGCGTGTATGTGGGGGAAAGGAATATTGGTTCTCTGCTATCCACACAGGTGTATGGGAAAAGCATTTGTCACAGTCTCACTGGGTTGCTTGCCTCAGTTCTAAAGTACTAAGGTAGGTGGACTTCTGTCCACTGAAGGAAAGGGATGCTACTCCCCATTGACTGTACCTGGAAGAGTACTTGGTGTTATTAAACCCACAATAGTAAAATCAGTCTGTTTACGCAGTAAAGCATTCTTGGTATACTCACTGTGGAACCTAAGGGGTTAATTCTTTTCATTATATAAAAAACGGCTGTTTGATCCTGTCTGCTCTGTTCCTCCCCTTCTTCCACAGTCCTCAATCCATCTGCTGATCGTACTGAGCCATAGGAGACACTCTGCACGTTTGTGTATTGCTAGAGGTTTTGTTTTTTGTGGGGGGCACAGTGCATGTGATCAGCAGAGTGGCCAATCAGCACTGTCCAGACAGAGGGTCAGGGGTCATGCAGCCTCATAGGACAGTCAGAGGAAAATGAAAACTCCTCCTGAATGATTAACCTGTGCTCAGCTGGACATTGCTTGATTGAAGTCACAAAGACTGCTATGTACTGCTGGTGAGAAAAGGTATTTAGCAGTTTTATAGTTACTAAAATAATTTACATTTTCATGTTGTGTGTACTGTGGGAGACCGGATATAGTGAATGCAGGGTCCGGGGAGACCGGATATAGTGAATGCAGGGTCCGGGGAGAGCGGATATAGTGAATGCAGGGTCCGGGGAGACCGGATATAGTGAATGCGGGGTCTGGGGAGGACCGGATATAGTGAATGCGGGGTCTGGGGAGACCGGGTATAGTGAATGCGGGGTCCGGGGAGGACCGGGTATATAGAAATGCGGGGTCCGGGGAGGACCGGATATAGCGAATGCGGGGTCCGGGGAGGACCGGGCATAGTGAATGCGGGGTCCGGGGAGGACCGGGCATAGCGAATGCGGGGTCCGGGGAGGACCGGGCATAGTGAATGCGGGGTCCGGGGAGGACCGGGCATAGTGAATGCGGGGTCCGGGGAGGACCGGGCATAGTGAATGCGGGGTCCGGGGAGGACCGGGCATAGTGAATGCGGGGTCCTGGGTTTAGTAACACCTTAAAGTCATTCTAGTGAAACATTTCTTCTTCATATCTAAGATCCTGTCCCTAAGGACCGCTGGGGCTTCCATTTCTTGTTTGTCAGTCACCGGGCATAGTGAAGGGGCTGCACTGGGAATGCAGGCCTTATACTTTGTATTCTTATAGGGTTTACTCGACATTGGGTTAAGGTAGAAGATGCCTAGCCATCATGTTTTTAAAGTACATGTTCTTTAAACATTTTCCAAAGCCCCCTCAATTTGAAGATGCAATTGACAAGTTCAGTCGCTGGCTGCAGCGCTCAGATTGGCCAGAGCTGAGTATTTTGTGCCAAACACTAGGTCTTACCCCTCTGTATGATCAGGCCTGTATTTTATCTCCTACTAAATTGTTTTGAATGCAGAGTTTTTGATTTGTTTGTATTTTGTCTTTAATTTTTCGTAAATAGATGGACAATTATGGGCAACAAGAACTGGCAGACCTCTTTGTCAAGTACAACGTAAAGTCCCCCATTACCTTAAATGACCTCACCCCTCCAGTGTCTTTCAATCTGATGTTCCAGACATCCATTGGACCCGGGGGCAACATGACAGGGTGTGTAACCTACTCTTTACTAACCATGTAATTTATTACTTTTACAAGCTAGAGCTAAATGTTTTGTAGACACCTGACCATCACACCTACAGGTGAAACTCAAAAAATTAGAATATCGTGCAAAAGTTCATTTATATCAGTAATGCAACTTAAAAGGTGAAACTAATATATGAGACTCATTACATGCAAAGCAAGATAGTTCAAGTCGTGATTTGTCATAATTGTGATGATTATGGCTTACAGCTCATGAAAACTCCAAATCCACAATCTCAGAAAATGAGAATATTACATGCAATCAATAAAACACGGATTGTACATAGAACAATATCGGACCTCTGAAAAGTAGAAGCATGCATATGTACTCAGTACTTGGTTTGGGCCCCTTTTTGCAGCAATTACTGCCTCAATGCGGCGTGGCATGGAAGCTATCAGCCTGTGGCACTGCTGAGGTGTTATGGAAGACCAGGATGCTTCAATAGCGGCCTTCAGCTCTTCTGCATTGTTCGGTCTCATGTCTCTCATCTTTCTCTTGGCAATGCCCCATAGATTCTCTATGGGGTTCAGGTCAGGTGAGTTTGCTGGCCAGTCAAGCACAGTAATCCCACGGTCATTGAACCAGGTTTTGGTGCTTTTGGCAGTGTGGGCAGGTGCCAAGTCCTGCTGGAAAATGAAGTCAGCATCCCCATAAAGCTTGTCTGCGGAAGGAAGCATGAAGTGCTCCAAAATCTCCTGGTAGACGGCTGCGTTGACCCTGGACTTAATGGAGCACAGTGGACCAACACCAGCAGATGACATAGCTCCCCAAATCAACACAGACTGTGGAAACTTCACACTGGACTTCAAGCATCTTGCAGTGTGTGCCTCTCCATTCTTCCTCCATACTCGGGGTCCTTGTGCCTCTCCATTCTTCCTCCATACTCGGGGTCCTTGGTTTCCAAATGAGATGCAAAATTTGCTCTCATCAGAAAAGAGGACTTTGGACCACTGAGCAACAGACCAGGTCTATTTTTCTTTAGCCCAGGTAAGACGCTTCTGACGTTGTTTGTTGTTCAGGAGCGGCTTGACAAGAGGAATACGACATTTGAAGCCCATGTCCAGGATCCGTCTTGTGTGTGGTGGCTCTTGATGCACTGACTCCAGCCTCAGTCCACTGCTTGTGAATGTACCCAACACTTTTGAATGGCCTTTTCCTGTCAATCCTCTCCAGGCTGCGGTCATCCCTGCTGCTTTTGCACCTTTTTCTTCCACACTTTTCCCTTCCACATAACTTTCTATTAATGTGCTTTGATACAGCACTTTGGGAACATCCAACTTCTTTTGCAATTACCTTTTGAGGCTTTCCCTCCTTATGGAGGGTGTCAATGATGGTTTTCTGTACAACTGTCAGGTCAGCAGTCTTTCCCATGATTGTGATTCCTACTGAACCAGACTGAGAGACCATTTAAAGGCTCAGGAATTGTGGATTTGGGGTTTTCATGAGCTGTAAGCCATAATCATCACAATTATGACAAATCACGGCTTGAACTATCTTGCTTTGCATGTAATGAATTAAATGAACTTTTGCACGATATTCAAATTTTTCGAGTTTCACCTGTATATGTGCTTGTTGGACACCCTATTGCAAATGCATAGACATTAACCCCTTTCCCCCAGAGGATTTACCCCGATTCATGACCAGGTCATTTTTTGCGATACTGTGCTGCGTTGATTTAACTTGTAACTGCACAGTCGTACAAGACTGCACCCAAATTAAATTTGTCCTTTTTTTCCCACAAATGGAGCTTTCTTTTGGTGGTATTTGGTCGCCTCTGTGTTTTTTTTTCTTTTTTGCGCTATAAACAAAAAAAATACTGACAATTTTAAGAATATTTTTGACTTTTTGCTATTAAACATGTCCAGTAAAAAAAAAAATAAATAAAATTTTGGCATAAATTTGAGCCAAAATGTATTCTGCTACACGTCTTTGCTTGAAAAAAATCCCAATACGTGTAAATTAATTGGTTTACGTGAAGGTTATATCATCTGCAAATGACAGTATAGATACTGGAGCTCTGTGTACAAAAAATGAAAATGTTCTTCCCTAAACTGTTACTACAAGTGCACAAATGTTTGAAATGCTTTTGTTTTTCTGTAGCATTAATAGTACAACACCTGAACTCCATCTGGAGGGGTATCCACATAATGTTGGCTATACAGTGTATTTGTAGATCACCATGTTTTTGTGCAAAGCTTTACAGAGTACATACTGTGGTATCCTACCACAGTCCTACAGATGTTCACAAAATCTAAAAATAATTTGATCAAAAGCTACGAAAGAACAGTTCCAAGAAAATACCATAGCTAATACTGAGATAATGAGCAAACATAGAGATGAGACCCCAGTGAGAATTGAATTCACTCTCCAGCACTGCAAGAAAACTGAACTGTCCCCTAAGTCACTGTTGTTGGCCTGCCATATTTAAATGTAGTATACTTTGTCTATTTTCCAACCTCTAGGTATCTCCGACCGGAAACTGCACAAGGAATCTTCCTCAACTTCAAACGGCTGTTGGAATTTAATCAGGGAAAACTGCCATTTGCTGCTGCTCAGATTGGGAACTCTTTTAGAAATGAGATTTCTCCCCGTTCAGGACTCATCAGGGTTCGGTAAGTAAAGGTTTCTCTTATTATTTGATGGGAAACACAGCAGATAGACGGTTCAGCAGGGACTGGCCATAGACCGTTCGAATCGCGGCCAATTCAGCAGGGACCGACTGAGATTCGAACCACGTATGGGCAGGCTGAATGTACCCAAGCTGACCGATCAACTTGGGTACAACCAGCCTGTCTGTTTTTAAATGTGATTGTTAGCGGCTCTTGTAGCCGCTAGTAGTAATCACTGTGTTCACCCAGCGGGGGCAGCTCCCCTGCCAGGAGAACACAATGGCTCCTCGGGAGGTATTTCCCCATCAACCCTGACTGTGTTGATGGGGGAATGGAGCGATTTTTCTTTCCTGCAACACATGGTTGCTGGAAAGAAAATCACTCCCATCTCTGGCCGTCTTTATTATTATACAGTATTTATAAAGCGCCAGTGGTTCGCTCAGCGCTGTACATTACAAAGGGGGACAGAACATGTGACAGAACAATAACAATACAATGCAAAACATGAGGGGATCGAGGGCCCTGCTCTTTCAAGCTTACAATCTAGGGGAGGTTTACTACTAAATCTGGTGCAGAATAACCAATCAGGCTTTGAACTTTAGCTTGTTCAAATAAGCTTTGACAATTTAATCTGGAAGTTGATTGGTTACTATGCTCAGCTGCACCAGATTCTGTCTGCACCAGGTTTTAGGAAATCTCCCCCTTAGCTTCTCAACTGCTTGGGGCTGGACACCCATACTAGACCCTGGGAATTTTTCTTGGTGTTTTATAGGTGATGGATAGTAATCGTAGGGTTTAAAGTGGAATTCCAGCCTAAAACTAACTATGCTGAAAAATGTTCCCACCCCCTTTCCGCTACTTATCCTGCCTGCCTCATGTAAAAGAAAAAAAAAAAATATGCTTACTTACCTATTTTTAGTCTGTTCTGGTCCGGTGATGTGATTTCTCTCTGTCACTGAGCAGTGGCTGCAGGGAAGAGGAGGGGAGCACTCAATGTTGGAATTCTGGGAGCCGTGATATCTCTCATAGGCCCCCATGTCTCAACTGTTGTGCTGCTCCTTCCTCTCCCCTGCAGCCACTGCTCACTGTCTGGGCAGCTGGAGCTGCAGGATCATGTGACTAGACCAGACTAAAAATAGGTAATTATATACAACCTTCTTTTTTTTTTTTTTTTACACAGGTTAGACAGAATAGGTAGCAGGAGGTACATATTTGTGATGCATTCACATGTCCCATGTTCTATCTCTTCAAATATATCTGTTGTAAACCACGTTAAAAAAAAAAAATCTCCTGCAAGGTAAAGGCATAATGTACTAGTATGCATTGGAATAGTAGCACATTGTGCAAAACGTACCTTAAAACAAAGCCCTCCTGTGACACCCTGTCACCGCTGATGGGGCTTCCATCTTCACCTGGTCTTCCTACCGGGCTCACAAGCTCCGGGCATTTGGCTGGCTGAGCTGTGATAACGTCCCTCCTGCTCATGCGAACAGAAGTCTCAGGACACTGCACAGTGCTCTGAACTGAAGGAAGAGCAGCGTGGTTACGCCATTCCTTCAGAGCGCATGCGCTGCTGTAAAGAAGAGCCCGAATATCTCCTAAACAGTGCACGTTTAGGAGATTTTTTTTTTTTAGCTACAGGTAAGCTTTATTATAAAGCTTACCTGTAGGTAAAACGTAACAAAGTGGCTTTACTACCACTTTAATCTGCCTGAAATCAAATGAGCTCCTAACTTTCTATCATGAAATTAGAGATGTGTGAATCATCCATGAGTCAAGGGCTGCCATATCCCTTAACTGTACCATATACAAATTTGTCTCCCATGGAACTTTAATGCAGCCAACACCACAACAAAGTATTAAAAAATTCAATTTTTATTGTACAAAATCCATAAAATCACTTCATAAAAACATTCACATAATGTTTCTATGGAGGGATTTTTATGGCTTTTGTACATTAAAAATATGTAATTTTTTTTTTTTTTAATTATTGTGATGGTTTCTGCATTAACTTCCTGTCGTGTTCTGAACACTGCCTCTGAAGGACTGAATTTCCAAGCAATGTTTTCATCCCTACCTGGATTCTCCCTTGCTGGACTTCATAATCCTTCCTCCTATGTTATGGAGATGAGCTTTGCTCTTTTAACATAGTGTACCAAAACACATTTGCATTGGGTCCGTTCAATGTATTTTTTTGGAATTGGACACTTTTTGATTTTCTAGCTTGGCTTTCTGTGTAAACCCGGATTGTGGACCTGCTGTTATAGTGGATCTCAAAGTGATACTAAACCTAAACTTTTTTTAACCTTAATGCATTGCTTTCATGAAGGTAAAAAACTGTTTTAAGTTCCCTGTGCTCTCCCTTCCCTGTGTAAAGAGGAAGAGTGGGTAGAATAGATCCTGCGCTGTGCACGGCTGCATCTCTTCCCTCCCTGCTCACACAGGAGCCCTTGGATCGTGCTGCTGTCAATCAAGTGCGGTGAAGAGGAAGGGGGGGGGAATAAGTCCTGCTGTGTATGTCTATGGAGCGCGGCTCCGTAGACGCACAAGTCAGGAGCGAGCATGCAGCGTTTGTCCCCATAGCAAACTGCTTGCTATGGGGACACACAATGAAGAAGAGGAAGCAGGATCGCCGGCAGGGAACCCAAGAAGAGGAGGATTGGGGCCACTCTGCCCACTGCATAGAGCAGGTGAGTGTAACATGAACAGTAACAACAAGCACTAGATGTCAAATAACAAGGAAAGGCTAGCCGCTGACATGAGAAGTGAACCTCTAAAAACTTCTGAACTAAGAATAATCAATAAAATGTAGCGCTATTTGCCAGATTAAAATAAATATGAAATAGTGAACGAAAAATGAATATATATATATATATATATATATATATTATATATATATATATATATATATATATATATATATATATATAAAGTTCATGCAAGATAGACGTGATTCTTGTGATGCGTCAAAGAATGATACAGCAGAGAAATCGTGACTCTTGTGGTAGTAGGACTGGATGTAGATTGCACTAACCGGATGCAGAAGGAGATTATGCATGGAGTATTTAAGACCTACTCCTGGTGCTCTGGATGTGAGACACTGGAAGGGTAGTCGTCATCTTAAATCTCGCCACTAGATGTCATGTATCCCAAATCAGTGGAAAACCTCAATAGATATCCACATCAGCCACCAGGGGGATCATCCCAATCCTCAGACAGCAGTGAGCAGCAGTGCAGCAGGAAGTGATGAAAACCTTCAAAAAGGCCAGGGCTCCCATAATAAAAAGAGCCCCAGGCCGAAGCTATGATAGTGTAGTCACTTTCTTGATGAATAAGGCAATAAAAAAACAAAAACACACTTACAGTATTGGCAAGATAACCGCCAGCCTTCCTTAACAGGCCATGCGGTATGTAGTAGTAGTTGGGGGGGCACCTCTCTGACGCGTTTTCGTGTAATTTACACGTTATCAAAAAAGCTTTAAAGTGTTTATAAAGACTGAACATTTTTTTTACCTTAATGCATTCTTTGCATTAAGGTAAAAAAATGTTTGGGCCTCAGTATCCCCCACCCCCCTTTTACTTACCTGAGTCCTCATTCCATCCAGTGATGTGCCCATCTACAGCTCTTCTGTCCCTGCACTTCCTGGTCTCTCAGGCTCCCACTGCTGTCAATCAAAGCGGAGGCCCCAAGCCCTACTGTTTGGGACAATAGAACGCAGACAGTGAGACTTGAGAACGAGCCTGCACAAGTGTCCCCACAGAAAATGGCTTTCTATGGGGGCTCTCTGCGAAGGGGGAAGCCAGGAGCACCGATAGCGGACCCAAGAAGAAGAGATTCTGAGCAGGTAAGTATAAACCTGTTTGTTTAAAAAAGAGCATTTAAAATTACTTCAGGAAGCTTAGCTTTTTCATCATCTGCCAAAACATCAAAGCCATGAAACGGCCTGTCATGTGACCTGGACATTCGATATGTCCCCTTCTATGCTTCAACATTGCCCTTTGCCTTTATTAGACCACCAGGTGTGTTTTAGGGTTGGATGATGCTCAGCGGCATTCAACCTACATATACTGTCTTGGAGAATCAGTGTCCGCAACCAGCTTGGACCCATAGGAAAATATTACAAATTACATTGCTCACCGATTGTACGTTGCACAGAGTAAAGCACACCCTGTTGACTGTACGTCGACCAGTGTACGGCACAGATGATGGCTTGAACAGTGCTCCGTGAGATGTTCAAAGCTTGGGATATTTTTTTTATGACCTAACACTGCTTTAAACTTCTCCACAACTTTATCCCCGACCTGTCTGTTGTGTTCCGTGGCCTTCATGATGCGGTTCTTTCACTGTTCCCTAACAAACCTCTGAGGGCTTCACAGAACAGCTGTATTTATACTGAGATTAAATTACACACAGCTGGACTCTATTTCTAATTAGGTGACTTCTGAAGGCAGTTGATTCCACTAGATTTTAGTTAGGGGTATCAGAGTAAAGGGGCTGAATACAAATGCACGCCACACGTTTCGCATATTTGTAAAAAAAAATTGAAAACCATTTCTCATTTTCCTTTCACTTCACAATTATGTGCCACTTTGTGTTGGTCTATCATATAAAATCCATTTACATTTTTGGTTGTAGCATGACAAAATGTGGAAAATTTCAAGGGGTATGAATACTTTTTCAAGGCACTGTACATGGCACAGTGTAAGGCATGGACTTGAAGGCTGTTTGTTACTGAGATTGCTTGTTCTATTTCCCCTGCAGAGAATTCACTATGGCAGAAATCGAGCACTTTGTCGACCCCAATGAGAAAATCCACCCCAAATTTGAGGCTGTAGCAGACTTTAATATCCTGTTGTATTCCTCCAAAGCACAGCTCAGTGGAGAGTCGGCACATAAGATGAGGCTGGGCGATGCTGTGGAGCAGGTATGTCACTTGACCAAACAGCAGCCATGTTTTACAATGTCCTCTTTGTTTCAAGGACCACTGATATTTTCCTAAAGGAACAATCTTCTTTACTTTACTGACAGATTTCTGCAAAGTCAATTGGAACCTTTCTATAATATAAATGTATGACTCCATGAAATTCAGATCATTTTATCATGCTGTATTGCTGATGTAATTGATGTTGTCCACTGTTGATATCGTTCCTGCATGGGAGTGAGCTGCTCAAGCAGGCCCGAGACTATTCACCTTAAAGCTGAGTTCCACACAAAAGTGGCAGCTCTGCTTGTTTGCCGCCCCCCCCCCACTGCCATTTTGGGGGAGACCAGATACCCAGTTTTGACAAGTACCCGCTCCCACTTCCGGCTCATTTCGCCCTCCTCCTCCCTTCCTCCCGCAGTCTTCTTGGACACTTCTCAGGTCCCAGAAGACTGCCGGACCAATCAGGATGCGCAGTGTGATCGTGCATACGCAGTGGGCACCAGGCTGTAAAGCCGTGAGCTGTCACAGCCTGGTACCCACAGTTGAGATGCCGGGATCAGGGACGAAGAGGGAAAGCAGGGACGGCACGGGTGAGCACATCACTGGACCCTGGGACAGGTAAGTGTGTGTTTATTAAAAGTCAGTCGCTACAGTTTTTGTAGCGGCTGACTTAATAAACACAAAATGACAAAATCTGCTTTAAAAATATTGCTGTTCATGATGACTTAGGGGTCAACTTTAGAGAAAGTAAAAATCCTCCTTTGCAGTGAGGTTAAAATGCTCATTTAGGTCTAGGGAATGAGAAAAGCAGTTTTCTTTTCTTAAACCTCTACCCCAGCAGCAGCCAGCACTCCCCTGCACTCCAAATGTGAACTGGTCCTCGACATCCTCCAGTAAAGGGCTATGGACCCTGAAATGGACTTCATGACATTAGGCAACCTGCAACCCTCAGAGATTAGGAAAATAGCAGCTGCGCCGGGACCAGCGTACAAAGACAGAGCCTGTCGGAGAGGATGATCAGGTTAAGCAAGCCATAGATGATGCAATTTTCAGGTTGCAGGAAAGTAAATCACTCTCGATTTCCCCCATCAACACTAGGCAGTGTTAATGGGAGAATCTCACACAGCGCTATTGTGTTCTGCCTGCGGGAATTCTTCCCTGCTAACAACACAACGATCGCTGCAGGCAGCTATAGCCGCTGGCATTGATCGCATGTAGAAAATCTGACAGGCTGGATGTACTGCAGTCGATCGATGGATCAACTTCAGTACAACCATCCTGCCCATAGATAAATGAATCTCGGTACCTGCTGACCCAGCAGAGATTAGATCCATCTATGGCCGGCTTAAGTAAAACTGCTTTTCTTGTACTCCTAGACATAAACATTTAACCGCTGCAGGGAGTGGGTAGCTCTTCTGCATGTCAGCATTCTTACTTTCCCCGGAGTTCTGCTTTAACTTTTCAAACACCAGCGAGTTTGTGATTGAGGCATTGCTTTAAAGGTTACAATTTAACAGACACCAGCACATCCTGAATACCAACTAGGTGTAAAAAAAAAAAATTTGCTTCCCGCTAGTCTTGTGTCCAGAGTTCTCTTACCTGCCCCTTCCTTTCGACTTCTCTCTATGCATTTGAGCCTTTAAAAAAACTCCAATCTGCCATATAAAGCTAGTTAAAGTTCAGCAATTTACTGTAATGCCCCTGTGAATGGGAGATGAGAGGAGGCTGAAGGAAAAAGTTATGATGCTGGGACAGTGATGGGCACAGCAGAGAATAGTCCTGGTGAAGCCCAGTGTTCTTAAAGTTCAACCCAGGTGATGAAAAAACGTCATCCCCTGCTGACTGCAAGGGTTAACTGCTAATTTTGCCTAGGGGATGATAAATAAGGTGATGTACTTGCCTTACCTGCCCGGCAGCTGATGCGCACCTTCGCTGTCCAGTGCTCTGGAATGAGGGCGGGTCCTTGACGTCCTCCCGTACATTGTTGGACTGCTGGTCCTGCATTGTACAGGATGATGTCGGAGAGCTGTGACCAGCCTGACAGCGAAAGGACAAGGCTTCAGGGGTCAGTCTCAAGAAAAGAAAGAAGCCTGCGGGAGCGAGGAACAAGGTAGGCTTATCTCGTCATCAGCCTTTAAGCAGGCACCCTTGTGGTGAGGAAGGGGCCCACTGCAAGGATAATATACAAACATTTTTCATCCCTGGAGTTTAGCTTTAAAGAGAACCTGTCAAGAATGGTTGACTATTTTTGTGAGTTCAAATTCTCTGTAGTCAGCTGAAACATTACTATTGTTTACAAAAAGCCTTTAGCCTTCTTTCTTATAATTTTGGCAGCATCTTTTTTACTATTGATAGTTCAGTTAGTGCCTGTTAATGGCACTGAAGTTAGCCAGGAGATAGGACCAGCCTCTCAGCCCAACACTTTGTAAAGCCGGCCATAGATGGTTCAAATCTCGGCTGGTTCAGCAGGGATTGACCAAGATTTGATCTATGTATGAGGAGGCTGATCAATCCATTGATCGACTTTGGTACAACCAGCAAGTCAGATTTATAGCATGTGGTTATTGCCAGCGGCTATAGTTTCTACCAATAACTTATTTATTTCAGGTACTTATATAGCGCCGTCAATTTACGCAGCTCTTTACATATATATTGTACATTCACATCAGTCCCTAACCCTCAAGGGGTGTACAATCTAAGGTCCCTAACTCACATTCCATACATACACATACTAGGGACAATTTAGACAGGAGACAATTCACCTACCAGCATGTCTTTGGAGTGTGGGAGGAAACCGGAGTACCCGGAGGAAACCCAGTCAGGAACAGGGAGAACATGCAAACTCCAGGCAGGTGATGCCATGGTTGTGATTCAAACCAACGACCCGGGTACTGCCAGGCGGAAGTGCTAACCATTTAGCCATTGTGCTGCCCCGATAATGACTGTTAGTGTTCTTCCAGCCAGGACGGCTCCCTGCACTCCTCCTCCACCGGAGGGACACAATAGCTCCGCCAGAGTATTTCGCCCATCAACACTGACTAAATTTTGATGATTTTCTTTCCTGCAACCCATGGTTGCAGAAAAGAAAATTGCATCATCTGTGTACTGCCTTAGGGAGGCAGAGAGAATACTAGACAACTAGTAATCCCTGATGGAACATGGGAACCATAGAGAAATGTTTGTGACTTGTTTATAACACTTTCATGAGTAAAGATCTGACATTTTTGCTTCTTCCTGGTCTCCAGGGTGTGATCAATAACTCAGTCCTGGGATACTTCATTGGAAGAATCTACTTATACCTCATTAAAGTCGGTGTGTCAGCGGAGAAGCTGCGGTTCCGGCAACACATGGAAAATGAAATGGCACATTACGCCTGCGACTGCTGGGATGCTGAAGCCAAAACCTCTTATGTAAGTATCAGGAAGTGTGTTTTCAACAGCCCTTGCCAGGCTGAATCCTTCTGTTCAGTCTAATATACGAATAACAGTAACAGTCCATTGCAGCCCAGTGCAGGTTATTAGGAGAAATCAGCTGATATTTGACTGTGTTGTTTTTTTTTTTTTTTTTTTTTTTAATGGGGAAATAGAGCCATCTACTGGTTTGCTTCACTGAACAGCCAGTACTTTTATTTTTAAGTTCTGATTTATAGAATTTTTTTTTAAAAAGAATAATGCTGCTTGTTTACAGATTTTAATATTGGAGCTTATTAAAGGCTGTATTTAAAGTATTACTAAACCCATAACAGTAAAATTAGTCTGTATAATGCAGTAAAGCATATTTGTTATACACCTAAGGGGTTAATCTTCTGCATTGTGTAAATAGGCTGTTTTGATCCTGTCTTCTCTGCTCCTCCTCCTCTTGTTCAAATGTCCACGCTGATAAGACAGACTGAACCCCCATAGCCCTTCTGCTCAGTTTAGTGTGTATCGCTAGAGAGTTTTTTTTTTTTTTTTTTTTCTTGGAGAGTGCATGCGATCAGCACAGGGCCAGTCAGCACTGTCCATAAAGAGGTCAGGGGTTTTGCATCCTAGAGCAGAAAGAAAAACTCCTCTTACAAGCTTTAACCAGTGCTCAGCTGAAGTCACAAAACTGCTCTAACTGCTGATGAGAAAAGGTATTTAGCAGTTTATATTTACTAAAATAATTGCATTTCCATGTTCTGTGTACTGTAGGAGACCAGATATAGTGAATGCGGGGTCCGGGGAGAGCGGATATAGTGAATGCAGGGTCCGGGGAGAGCGGATATAGTGAATGCGGGGTCCGGGCAGAGCGGATATAGTGAATGCGGGGTCCGGGGAGAGCGGATATAGTGAATGCGGGGTCCGGGAGAGAGCGGATATAGTGAATGTGGGGTCCGGGAGAACGGATATAGTGAATGCGGGGTCCGGGAGAGCGGATATAGTGTGAATGCGGGGTCCAGGGAGCCCGGATATAGTGAATGCGGGGTCCGGGCAGAGCGGATATAGTGAATGCGGGGTCGGGCAGAGCGGATATAGTGAATGCGGGGTTCGGGCAGAGCGGATATAGTGAATGCGGGGTCCGGCAATATAGTGAATGGGGGTCCGGGCAGAGCGGATATAGTGAATGCGGGGTATCGTGAATGCCACAGAGCGAGATATAGTGAATGCGGGGTCCGGGGAGCGAGATATAGTGAAATGCGGGTCCGGGAGAGCGGATATAGTGAATGCGGGGTCCGGGCAGAGCGGATATAGTGAATGCGGGGTCCGGGGAGAGCGGATATAGTGAATGCGGGGTCCGGGCAGAAATGCGGGGTCCGGGCATATAGTGAATGCGGGGTCCGGGCCAGAGCGGGTCCGGGCAGAGCGGATATAGTGAATGCGGGGTCCGTGCACAGAGCGGATATAGTGAATGCAGGGTCCGGGGAGAGCGGATATAGTGAATGCGGGGTCCGGCGGATATAGTGAATGCAGGGTCCAGGGAGAGCGGATATAGTGAATGCGGGGTCCGGGCAGAGCGGATATAGTGAATGCGGGGTCCGGGCAGAGCGGATATAGTGAATGCGGGGTGGCGGGATATAGTGAATGCGGGGTCGGGCAGAGCGGATATAGTGAATGCGGGGTCCGGGCAGAGCGGATATAGTGAATGCGGGGGTCCGGGCAGATATAGTGAATGCGGGGTCCGGGCAGAGCGGATATAGTGAATGCGGGGTCCGGGGAGAGCGGATATAGTGAATGCGGGGTCCGGGCAGAATATAGTGAATGCGGGGTCCGGGGCAGAGCGGATATAGTGAATGCGGGGTCCGGGCAGAGCGGATATAGTGAATGCGGGGTCCCGGCAGAGCGGATATAGTGAATGCGGGGGTCGGGCATATAGTGAATGCGGGGTCCGGGCAGGGATATAGTGAATGCGGGGTCCGGGCAGAGCGGATATAGTGAATGCGGGGTCCGGGAGAGCGGATATAGTGAATGCGGGGTCCAGGCAGACGGATATAGTGAATGCGGGTCCGGAGCACCGGGGATATAGTGAATGCAATGCGGGGTCCGGGCAGAGTGAATGCGGATATAGTGAATGCGGGGTCCGGGGAGAGCGCGGATATAGGAAATATCCGGGGAGAGCGGATAGTGGATATGTGAATGCGGGGTCCGGGCAGAGCGGATATAGTGAATGCGGGGTCCGGGGCAGAGCGGATATAGTGAATGCGGGAGCGGATGAGGATATAGTGAATGGGGGGTCCGGGCGAGCGGATATAGTGAATGCGGGGTCCGGGCAGAGCGGATATAGTGAATGCGGGGTCCGGGCAGAGGGCAATGCGGGGTCCGGGAGCGGATATAGTGAATGCGGGGTAGAGCGGATATAGTGAATGCGGGGTCCGGGAGAGCGGATATAGTGAATGCGGGGTCCGGGCAGAGCGGATATAAGTGAATGCGGGGTCCGGCAGAGGGATATAGTGAATGAGCGGATATAGTGAATGCGGGGTCCGGGGAGAGCGGATGCGGGGTCCGGGCGGAGACCGGATATAGTGAATGCGGGGTCCGGGGAGAACTGCGGATATAGTGAATGCGGGGTCCCGGGCAGACCCGGATATAGTGAATGCGGGGTCCGGGGGCTCGGGAGAGACCGGATATAGTGCGGGGTCCGGGGAGAGCGGATATAGTCCGGGGTTTAGCACAAGACCGGATATAGTGAATGCGGGGTCCGGGGAGAGCGGATATAGTGAATGCAGGGTCCGGGTGAATGCAGGGGTCCAGAGACGGATATAGTGAATGCAGGGTCCAGGGAGACCGGATATAGTGAATGCAGGGTCCGGGCAGACCGGATATAGTGAATGCGGGGTCCGGGCAGAGCGGATATAGTGAATGCGGGGTCCGGGCAGAGCGGATATAGTGAATGCGGGGTCCAGGGCAGACCGGATATAGTGAATGCGGGGTCCGGGGGAGCGGATATAGTGAATGCGGGGGGGTGAGAGCGGATATAGTGAATGCGGGGTCCGGGCAGACGGATATAGTGAATGCGGGGTCCGGGCATATAGAGGGTCCGGATATATAGTGAATGCGGGGTCCTGGGCAGAGGATATAGTGAATGCGGGGTCCGGGGATAGCGGATATAGTGAATGCGGGGTCCGGGGAGAGCGGATATAGTGAATGCGGGGTCCGGCAGAGCGGATATAGTGAATGCGGGGTCCGGGGAGAGCGGATATAGTGAATGCGGGGTCCGGGCAGAGCGGATATAGTGAATGCGGGGTCCGGGCAGAGCGGATATAGTGAATGCGGGGTCCGGGCAGACTGGATATAGTGAATGCGGGGTCCGGGGCGGATATAGTGAGCGGATATAGTGTTTGATTTGGTTTGGGGGTTTATGATCCCAAATATATATGTATGTATATATTTATATGTATATGTATATTTATATTTTTTAACGCTGTATACCGTATTGCATTTGGAATAGTTGCGTGACATTCGGTCTATGGAGTCTACTGTAATAAGCACCGCTACTCCACTGATCTCCACTGGCTACCAGGTCCCATGCCGAGCTCCTGACCTGCGGCTTACTGAACACAGAAGGTCGTCCGCTTCTCACAAGCACCATTCGGAGAACAGTTTACATTTTCTCAATGAAAGCAAAGCGTTCTGTGGATGAGGTGAAATTTGTGATGTCACCAAACCAATCACAGAATGCCTTGAAATCACTGAGAAAATGCAAAGTGTACTCTGAATGGTGCCCATGGCAAATGAGTGACCTCCAGAGTTCGCCAAACAGCAGGGCAGCTGACACAGGCTTAAGGAGAGCACAGTAGTAGCAGTCTAAAAAATAAATAATAAAGCGAGCGCTTCTCAATATATTATAAAAGCATCTTGCATAAGGCAACCCCTAAAATCCTTGAACATATATATAATCAATATGCAGCGCTCAAAGATATTGTTAAAGTGACAAAGTGAATCTATATATGGTGTCCAATAGCAGCAACAGTAGGTGCAAGTAAGCCTGCATCTAGTAACCAGATAATAACCGTAAGCATGCATTCAAAAGGCTCCAAGATGGCCGCTGGCCAGACATGTGGCTCCAGCAGCAAAGGGTGACGTCAGGGCGGCAGGCTGGTACCCTAGTGCCCTATATACTACATGCGTATAACCATTTTATGTCTGGTGAATGCAAGCACATCCCTTCTTTGCCTATCACGAAAGTCACGAGCACCTTAATCTGTGATGGAAGCTGATAGGAACTAATTGATATTTCCTGATGCGGGAATACTGACGCACCTTTATGGACATCTATACATTTATTTATGCAATATAATGTGTTTAAAGTTAAAGTTGTCACTTTATAAATAGATACGGTCTTCATCAAGACATCACTACTTTCAACACTTTGCACGTTCATCACTTTGTCACTTTAACAATATTTGAGTGCTGCATTTTGATTATATACAGTAGTAGCAGTGTCTGTTACCCCTGGTTCACATATATGCGGCCGTGCGTTGCGCGGGCACAAGGGCCCATTCATTTGAATGGACTCCCATGTTCCGTGACACGCAGGGAAGAAGTCCCTGCACTTCTTTGGAAAACGCAGCCCGCCCGGGAACGTCGGTTCCCAGTACGGTTGCATTTTCCAGTGCAGGCGGTGTGCCATTAGAACTAATGGCACCCGCCCGCGGGTCCGCATTCCTCTGTGCGGGTGGTGCGGCTACACAGATTTTCATGCGGATCCGCAGCGGCACCTAGATGTGAACCTAGCCTTACAGTGATCCCACAGGTATGGCACATACTTGCATTGTTTCAAGCTGGACCGATGTAACTATGTAAAAATTGCTATACCTAAACTTCAACTGTATCAGTGCTCAGGTAATGACATGTTACCACCATGGAGTGCTGTACACGTCCTGAGCCCAGATTGTGTAATAACAGCTTGGGTGCAGAGAAAATGGGACCAATGGCACTGGCCCTTATTCAGCTAGAAGACTAAAGGACAGCTTGTGGAGGAAAAGAAGTTCTGCAGGGGGCAACTCCTTATTAATGAGTATTGCACCTAAAGCTTTTTTTTTATTTTGAAAATAGAATAATACTCGTTGAGCTAAAATGTGATATTCTCTCTGTGTATCATCTGATATAACTAAAAATTTAACAAATATCAATAAATTTGTGGTGCATCAACAATAAACACATACTCATAATCTGTGTAAATAGTCAAAAATTATATCTAAATGTGTCGCGCTCCACACTGTGTATTCAATCAATCATAATAACTCAATAATAATTATATAGATGTGAAAAACCATGTACTTCAAAACAGTGCAATATCTTGTGCAACAAAACATATAAATATATATATATATATATATGCAATCATAAATTATAAAGTCCACTTTGTTCTTCAAATTATGCCGATGCCAGTGCAGCACTCCCCGTGCTCAAGAATAGATGTACGCTCACCTTACCAATTAGCCAAACTAAGTGGCTAATAACGCTTTTTGTCCCATCAGGACTAAATGGTGTTTTCCATGCTGAGTGCTTATTTCCAAATGCGAACGGATAGGCTTGTGCTCCCAACTCTCTCCCACCAGGGGTCTCCCTCACTCCTTTCTATCCACACTCAGTCTTGGTGGATGGATGAGACAAATCTGTGTACTGCTTCCACCTCCCGGTGTTATGGGATACCATAAAAAAGGGGGAAGTAATAATAGCGCCTTATCCTTTTAGAATTCAGGTGCTTTTATTATGTAAAAAATGCGCACTCACACATTAAAGTGCTATTACAGACAAGTAAGATTATTTATTTATTTATCGAGTTTATATAGCGCCAAAGGGTTTGCTCAGCGCTGTACAATAGAGGGGGGGACAATACATGAAACAGAACAGTAACATCAAACAGTACACAAGGGGTTAGAGGGCCCTACTCTTTCGAGCTTACAATCTAGGAGGGAGGGGGTAGAGGCACAGGAGGAAATGGCTGTGGGGGATGGAGTGTTAGGAGGAGGGAAGGGCAGCGGCTGTTAGGTGAGGGTGGGGTAGGCTTCCCTGAAGAGGTGGGTTTTCAGGGAGCGCCTGAAGGTGAGGAGGGAAGGTGACAGTCTGATGGATTGGGGTAGTGAGTTCCAGAGGATGGGGGAGGACCTGGAGAAGTCTTGCAGTCGTGCGTGGGAGGAGGAGACCAGGGAGCAAGATAGGAGGTCCTGTGAAGAGCGAAGGGTACGGGTAGGGTGGTACCTGGGAATCAGGTCGGTGAGGTAGTTAGGGGCAGTGTTGTGAATGGCCTTATAGGTCAGGGTGAGCAATTTGAATTTAATGCGTTAGACAATGGGGAGCCAGTTGAGGGAGAGGCAGAGGGGGGTGGCAGAGGTGGAGCGGTTGGTGAGGTGGATGAGTTTATGCCCAGATCCTCGATTTGTACTTGCCGCTCATCAGCGTCGTGACATCAGGGCTCTGGATCGAGGATCTGGGCATAATCTTACTTGTCTGTAATAGCACTTTAATGTGTGAGTGCGCATTTTTTACATAATAAAAGCACTTGAATTCTAAAAGGATAAGGCGCTATTATTACTTCCCCCTTTTTTATGGTATCCCATAACACCGGGAGGTGGAAGCAGTACACAGATTTGTCTCATCCATCCACCAAGACTGAGTGTGGATAGAAAGGAGTGAGGGAGACCCCTGGTGGGAGAGAGTTGGGAGCACAAGCCTATCCGTTCGCATTTGGAAATAAGCACCCAGCATGGAAAACACCATTTAGTCCTGATGGGACAACAAGCGTTATTAGCCACTTAGTTTGGCTAATTGGTAAGGTGAGCGTACATCTATTCTTGAGCACGGGGAGTGTTGCACTGGCATCGGCATAATTTGAAGAACAAAGTGGACTTTATAATTTATGATTGCATATATATATTTATATGTTTTGTTGCACAAGATACTTATATGTTTTATATGTTTTGTTGCACAAGATATTGCACTGTTTTGAAGCACATGGTTTTTTCACATCTATATAATTATTATTGAGTTATTATGATTGATTGAATACACAGTGTGGAGAGCGACACATTTAGATATAATTTTTTTTTATTTTGCCTTTAAATAGACGAGTAACTTTTTTTTTTTTTTTTTTTTTTTTGGGCTGACGTTTTGTTTTTAACATTTTCAGAGATCTATTTAATTCTTTGTTTGCTGTTACTTACTGTCTTTCAGGGCTGGATAGAGATCGTTGGCTGTGCGGACCGCTCATGTTACGATCTTTCCTGCCATGCCAGAGCCACAAAGGTGGTGCTTGCTGCCGAAAAGCCTCTTAAAGAACCCATATCCTTTCTCATCTTCCTCTTCTATAAATTTCTGTTTTGTGTGTTTCAGTGATAAGCTGGTCCCACTGTTTGCATATATAATTTTTATTCCCCCAAGAAAGTGGTGGGGGAAGAGAAGGAAAGACAAACCTCTAGAAGCAGAGTGGTGTTCTCATCTAGGAGAGCTTGGAGGTGGGGCAGACTGGAGCTTAAGGTGGTCCTAAAGGCTGAAGGTTTTATTACCTTCATGCATTCTATTCATTAAGGTAAAGAACATTTCTGTGTGCCCCCCTTATACTTTCCTGAGCCCGATGTCGAGCCAACACTGTGCACGAGTTTGGCATACTGCTCTTTCTCCTCACTGGCTCAGACACAGTGGCAGGAGCCATTGGCTTCTGCTGCTGTCAGTCACAGCTAGGAAACAGGGGGCGCGGTTGAGGGCGCACTTTGTGTGTCAATGGACACACAGAGCATGGCTCGGGAGCAAGTGCATCAGTCCCCCATAGCAAGCGGCTTAAAGTGGGGACACTCAGCGAGTAGGAGGGGCCCGAGAAGAGGAGGATCAGAGCTGCTATATGCAAAACCATTACACAGAGCAGGTAAGTATAATATGTTTTTTTTTTTTACCATTACCAATCACTTAAAAAAAATAAATAAATAAAAATATGTCGATAGACAAAAAAAAAAGTTGGTATTGTAGATTAAGGAGGATTCCAATAAAGTAAAGTCTGTTAATGAGGTGAGGGTGTGCTTTAAGTGAATTGACAGATGGCGACATGCCAAACTATGACTGCAAGTGGAATATATCACCCAAACACCATTGTAGCAAAACAGGAATTAAACATTTATTCGTCATCACATAGTGCAGTATTTTGGGGCCAGTGAAGACCACTTTCCACAGGCAGCAGTGGTCACTGCTAGAAGAGGGTCCTTGGTGGTTCCAAAACATTGGACATTGTGGTGGTGAATAACCATTCTTTATGTTTAAGTCTCAAGATTTTACTTGGTAAACATTTCAGTATATTGCTTGTGGATGGCAGCCTAACACTAGGATTCGAGGGGATAGCAGCCACAGAATGGCAGAACAAAATATGCTTTGCTTAGAGGGTATGTAAACACAAACAATTACCTCCTTTATCTGCTCTGTTTTGGTCATTAAATACCTTCAAAATGGTTTTGTTATATCTGCTCCATAGTTGCAAAAAAAAAAAAAACCTGTTAATCCTGCCAGGAATCTTGTAAACTGGTAACTTCCTATTCTCTGGTGCTCTGTTCGCAGTTAACGTATTCCCTGTTCTCTTTCCTCTTTTTCACAACACAAGGGCGGGGTAATCTGTAATTTACAGAAAGCCACCCTTGTCCTTGTAGTCCTGTCTTTGGGCATCACTATCTCTCCATATATACAGCGTGTGAACGTCCTAGGGACAGAAAATGGATTACTGGCAAGATCGCCAGTGTTACGGATTCGCCAGGTGGTGCCTCTGGCAGCCCACTTGACAGGATTACCCGAAGCGTGGCGTCTAAGTCCCGGTCTGCGTTTTCACCAGGGCCCCTGATGGTGGGGATGGACTTGGAGCAGGACCAGGTCACGACCTCCGAGCAATCCCACCAGTGGCAGAGGGAACCTCCGGGGATATGTGCACTCCAGAAGAGAGCCAGATGTGAGGAGGCCGGCAGGACCAGGCAGGATAAACAGGCGGTTGTCACCGTGGGGGTCGGCGAGGTACAGAGGCGGCAGGCAGAGAGTAGTCAGGTCACACGCAGGGTCAGTAATGTAGTCAGTCCGCAGAATGGTCAAACAAGCCGGGGGTCAGGATAGGAGAAGGCAGCGTAGTCAGGGGCAATCCGGGTCAAACTCAGGAGAAGGCAGCGTAGTCAAAACAATCCGGGTCACAGTTGGAGCAGGCAGAGAGGTCAAACAATCCGGGTCAATAATCACAGGGCACAGGAACTCAGGTTACAGATCAGACCTTGCGGCAACCTGTGACCGTGCAGGGCATCTTTAAATATCGCGCCCTGCACTGTCATTGGCCGCCCAGGACGCGTCCCTGGCTGTCATTGGCCACCCAGGGCGTGCCCGCGGCTCCTACTGCGCATGCGCGGATTCCTGTCAGCCGTGGCCCGCCGGGACCTGGTGCCTGTATCCCGGTGCGAACCGCCGCTAGTGCGCGTGCGCCGGGGAAGGCGCCGCGGCGGTCCCTGACAGCCAGGTATTAATAAAGGGAAGAAAGCTTGAAAAAAAAGAGAACTAAGCTATCACTTCTCAGGACTGGTAAGCTGCAATATATTACATTTTTCTCCTTGATGTTAGATATGAGGAAATATGAAGCCTGGACCCTTTCCTATGAAAAGTCTAGTAGCCTGTCATGCTTATCCAGTGGCTTCAATACTTTGTAACTGGCACAGAACCAATATGCATATTGGAAGTTCTGGCTCCATTCGTTTTCCTTTCTTGCTTATTTTTGGTTAGGATTTTAAAGTATAGAATTTATTGAATCAACCTGACAGCCAGGCAGTTAGCATCTTCAAGAGGTCACTCAGTACTGTTTTCTATTTAAAGGGTCTGGTATGACAGTCCAAACAAGTCCCAAATCCAGTTACTATGTGATGCATGAGCCTCATAAAGTAAACAAAACACTTTTTTTTACCTTCCCTGACTGAGCCAAACCCTCCTTCATTTGTGTGTCACACATGTCCCCTCCCAGACACTGCAGATCACAGCGGGAAGGTTTCCGTAACGGGCAATGCTGTTAATCTAGATAGCAGAGGGCAGGACTAGGTGTGGCCATATGCTGATTGATAATCTTCAGGCTTGTGAATGAGCAGTGACAATGAGAATAGCCACATCCCCTGAAACAGGTTCTCAACTTACTCTAGTGCAAGCAGGCTGGCCTATATGAGAGTGACAACTCTGCTCTGAATTCAGGAGCAGTGCAGCATTGTTGTCACACTATCGCAGGAAGCTGCAATAGAAAAATGCTTTGTATTTTCATTATGTATAGATTGAATTATTCTTGTAATATTTACTTTACCTGAATCTTTAATAAAAAAGTTTTAACATGATGGCCAGAACTCTGAATACTGTTATTTTGGCTATTGCACTTTTTCTAAAGATTAAAGGGAGATTGTAAGCTCCAAGGATCAGGGCCCTCCTATCCCTCTTGTATTGAACTGTATTGTTGCTGTATTGTCTCCCGTTATATTGTAAAGCGCTGAGCAAACTGTTGGCGCCATATAAATCCTGTATAATAATAATAATAATACAGCCAGAGTACTTGGTGTCATCCTAGACTCCAGTCTGATCTTTCCAGCCCCAGGTCCTATCGCTGACAAACTCATGTAGACTTCACCTCCGCAACATCTCCAAAATACTTCCGTTTCTACCCGCGGAAACTACGAAGCAACTCATCCACTCCCTCATCATATCACGCCTTGACTACTGTAACTCCCTCCTCACTGGCCTACCTCACCGCAGGCTATCCCCGCTTCAGTCTATACTGAATGCTGCGGCCAGACTCATCCATCTTACTAACCTCTCCATATCTCCCACCCCCCTCTGCCAATCCCTCCACTGGCTTCCGATTGCCCAACGGATAAAATTCAAAATGCTAACACTGACGTACAAAGCTGTCCATAACACTGCCCCAAACTACATCATCACTGACCTGATATCCAAATACCACCCAAAACGTACTCTCCGCTCCTTACAAGACCTCCTTCTCTCTAGTTCCCTGGTCTCCTCCTCCCATGCCCATCTCCAGGGCTTCCTCTATCCTCTGGAACTCACTACCCCAATCCATCAGACTATCGCCTACTCTCCTCTCCTTTAGGCGCACCCTGGAAAACCATCTCTTCAGGAAAGCCTACCCCGCCCTCTGCTAATTGCCGATCTCCTCCACTCTTCCTACCAGTCCATCCCCCACAGCTATTCCTCCCGTACCACTATCCCCTCCCTCCTAGATTGTAAGCTCCAAGGAGCAGGGCCCTCGAACCCCTCGTGTATCGCATTGTATTGATATTGTACTGTCTCGTGTACTGTCTCCCATTGTAATGTACAGCGCTGAGCAAACTGTTGGCGCTATATAAATCCTGTATAATAATAATAATAATATTGCGAACTAATCTTAAAACTGCTCCCATCCCCTTCTAGCACTTTTATTAAACTGTAGAAGAACGAACCATACTTGCCTATTTTCATGCTGCTCCGGTTCAGTCACGTGATCTCCCCTTTGTCAGCTGGCTGCAGGGGAAAGGAGTGGGCACCCGACAATGGCTGGTGGTATCACCCATAGGCTTACTATGGGCCATACTCTGTCGGCATTCCCTCCTCTCCCCTGAAGCTGCTGCTAGCTAACGGGGGGGGCAGGCTGATCACTTGACCAGACTGGAGCGGCCTGAAAATAGTTATGTCTATGCATCTTTCTTCTGCAGGTTAATTAGTTTAAGTGTTAGAAGGGGGTTGGAGTTTAATTATATTCCAGAATTCCACTTTAAATCTTGATGCACATGGCCGTACAGTACAATTGTATTTGGTTTTTGTTTTTTTTGTATTGGGAGTAACATGTGCAGTGTACAGTCACTGCCGGTCAGCATGTATAAACCAATGGTAGGTAGCAGCAGTACACATACAGTACTTTGCAAAAGTTTTAGGCGGGTCTGGAAAAAATGCTGTAAATGAATACTTTCAGAAATAGAAGTGTTAATAGTTTTTTTCTCAATTAACAAAATGGAAAGTAAATTAAGAGAAGAGAAATCTAAATCAAATCAATATTTGATGTGACCGCCTTCAAAACCGCATCATTCCTTCTAGGTAGACTTGCACGCAGTTTATGAAGGAACTCGGCAGGTAGGTTGTTCCAAACATCTTGGAGAACTAAGCGCAAATTTTCTGTGGATGTCGGCTGCCTCAGATTCTTCTGTGTCTTCTTGTAATCTCAGAGAGACTCCATGATGTTGAGATCGGGGCTCTGTGGAGGACAAACTATCACTTCCAGGACTCCTTGTTCTTCTTTACACTGAAGATAGTTCCTAATGACATTGGCTGCTTTTTTTGGGTCGTTGTCCTGCTGCAGAATAAATTTGGGGCCACTTACGCACCTCCCCAATGGTACGGCATGATGGATATGTATCTGCCTGCATTTCTCAGCATTGAGGACCCCATTTAATTACAGGCTATGCACATATTATTTAATTTTACTTTTTTATACTAAACATTCCTTAACCCCTGTGCACAAAACCGTTAATGTTGTCCAGTTCGAGGCCAGTAAAGGAGCAATCGGCAAATCGTACAAGAAGGACGCCAAGCTGGTGATGGAGTATCTTGCGATTTGTGACGAATGCTTCATCACAGAGATGGAACAGCTGCTACAGGATAAAGGGTGAGCCTAGTCTTTATTTAAAGATAATGCATAGTGGTTTTTATATGTCTTCTTTGTTTGGGTCTTGTCAGATCACCAGGGACAGAATTATTAAAAAGGCTACTCACTTTCTCCTATGGCATTACTCAATTGCTGGCAGACCAGTGCCCTTTTGCAGGTCTCTTGCTAGCCATCAAATTGCTATGGCATTTATGAACAGCAAGGGAGTAGTGCCTATTAGGGGGTAGTGGTTGTTGTACCTCAGTGACATCTGGTATTGGCCTTTGCTTTTTATGGTCTAGGCCAGGGGTTCTCAGCTTATTGAGACAAGGGCCCAGTAAACTCTTCCATGTTCGATTGCAAAAAAAAACATTTATGCTCGCACAATAAGTATGCAAATACAAAATATGTATTAAAAAGCTTGAGGACACTGAATGGGACTGGGTTTCACGGGGGGGATTCTGGAGGGGATTAGGGGACGCTTAATGAACTGTAGAAGGGGATGATGAAAGAGCACACAAACCTTGTACATTACCTCAATAAATAGTGACTAATTTTATTATATTTAGGACATATACTTACAAAAGTGACGGTAAAACAGGCATAAGTTAACCATAATCCACACAGGGTTGCAGGTAAATCCAAAGGGGGGGATAAAAGCTAACACGTTTCAAAGGGTGCTCCCTTCTTCATCAGAGCTGGGTTTGGCAGATAGAAACTTCAGTATAGCAGAGTTCCCATAGCAAGGAGACATTCAGCCACTGAGTATTACAGCATTTCAGCCTGTTTAGTCTAGACTATACTGAATTTTCTATCTGCCAAACCCAGCTCTGATGAAGAAGGGAGCACCCTTTGAAACGCGTTCGCTTTTATTCCCCCCCCCCCCCCCCTTTGGATTTACCTGTAACCCTGTGTGGATTATGGTTAACTTATGCCTGTTTTACCATCACTTTTGTGAGTATGTTTCCTAAATATAATAAAATTAGTCACCATTTATTGAGGTAATGCTCGAGGTTTGTGCGCTCTTTCATCCCCTTCTACAGTTTTATCAAGCTTCCCCAGCTTCATGATTGAGCTGCACAACCTCTGATCACCAGCGGATGAACACGCCGTTTGTTACTAACGCCCATTTGATCTGAGTCTTTGAGTGCAGGAGATAATGGATTTTTGGGGATTAGGGGACTCTAGGAGGATGAGGTTTCTGGAGCAAGCCTGGGGCCACTGTGGCAGAGGGGGCTGGAGATATCTCCAGAACGCTGGGAGCTTTTCAGAGGCACTGTGACACTAGACTGCCCTACAGGGACTCTGGGACACTGTTGGAAGCTGAGGGTATGGCAGCAAGCTTGGGGGACACTTTGGAGGCTGAGGAGGTCTGGGGGCACTGTGAGAGGTTGAGGGGCACTATGAGCCACTATGGGAGGTATTTTAGGATGTTAGGACCAGGGGCGGACTGACAACTCATGGGCCCCTGGGCAATAGGGGATCATGGGGCCTCTGTGTCCTTGCCCACACTCAAAGAACACCCAAAAAAAAGCCTATAAAAGGTACCAGGGGCATTTCATGGGGCCCCCTACTGACCCTGGGCCCTCGGGCAGTGACCGAGTGCTCGAATGGTCAGTCTGCCCCTGGTTAGGGCATCAGCTGGCTGGAGGCGGAAGCCCAGAGCCCAGCACTGGGCCACAGCTCCGTGGCACAGAACCACTTCTCTAGACTGGAAAAGAGACTGTAAAAATTAAAATATTTTTATTAATATTTAAAATGCTGACTCTGATTTCACTGCACACTGAGCTTCTGTTTGCTTGCTGCAACTCTCTGTGCTATGATTGTATTTGACAATTCATTGCTTAATTGCCATTTGAACCACTTCTGTTCTCTTGCAGGGAATTCACTATAGAGACAGAAGGGAAGACTTTTCTACTGACAAAGGATATGGTCAGTGTGAAGAGGTTTCAGAAAACGATACATGGTAATGAATTTGAATTTCATCTTTATGACACAATACTGTTTTTTTTTTTTTTTTTTTTTTTTTTTTTTTTTTTGCATTTATATGTCCTCTGATATCAGGAGGAGCTTCAGTATTGCTCAATATTGCCGAGTCAGGTTCTATTAAACATCCTGTCACCAAACTGAAGTTTCACGTATAAACAAGCAAAAGTCAAGTTCTTAACCAGTGCCCACCAGCTATACGAATATATGTGGCCTCTCGGAGGGTGGGCTTTTAACTCCAAGCAGCCTCATCTCCCAATGTAATCACACTACTGTGCTGAGAGTGCACTCCCAGCACAGTACCCGGCAGGTATTGAAAAGCTCCCGATGCATACTTCCTTTTGGGAGCTTTCCAATCATGTGACTGCCAATCACAACATTCACATGTTTGGAATGCCTACCTCCATCCATCTCCTGTTAAAGGGATGGGCGGTGGGAAGGGATTAAATGCTTAAAGTGTATTTTATTTTCCATTAGTGATTGTTTTTTTTTTTTCACTTGCAATAATATGCCTTTGAACTGACTAGAAAACATACCTACTCCAGGAAGAGTCAATTTCATAACATAGCCTACTTGTATCTGCCTACATCATACCCCTCTCTACCTAATTACCAACCAACTAATTACAAACTGTGCTGACACTGCTCCTCCTCATCTCAATACACCTTTTTTTGTATAGCTAATGGAGGGGGGGGGGGGGGTAGTTTGTATAGAGTGACAACTCTTGAGTCCTCTGCTGCTGTCTTGAGAGTTTTGGATGGCTACACACGGAGGAATTACAGGTAAATGACATATATAAAATGTTAAAGTGGTAGTAAACCATTTTTAAAAAACAAAAACAGGTCCCCCTGTAGGCAATGCAATAATGGTGCTAGTATGCACCGTTTAAAAAAAAAAAAAAAAAAAAAGGATTCCTCCAGTTTAGCTGTCACCGTATTGAGGACTTGCATCTTCCTCAGAGCCAAGCATGATCGGCTCTGAAGGAAGTGGCAAGTCCTCGAAACGTGTCAGATATTGGGAGGTCTAGGAGTCCCATTACGGATCTCATCCAGTGTGACTGGACCTTGCTTTACTTTATATGCTGTGCCCTTGACATTTGTTCCTTTGTGAGTATATTGCCACTTTTTTCTACAATAAATGATAATGCACTAGGCCCGTGCGCCATTTGTTTGTTTCTTTGCATGCAGTACTCTGGATTTCCCTGGTACGTTGAGGTCAGCAAGGCATGCAGTCTCTAGGCATCTTACTTGTGGTTCTAACCTCTGTGGAGTCCATCCTCCAGCGCAGGATTATATGCTTATGGCATTCTTTGTTGGGTGCGAAGGCTGGTCTGTGTAGTCTGATCCAATAGAAGAGTTACTGAGGCTCGAATTAATGCTGGTTCTGATAGAAGGGTTTGCAGGACTGCACCATTTTTTTTTTTTTTTTTTATCACTACACAATGGTAGTTCCTTCAGATGAATTATGGACTAATTTTAATTATTCATGCATTTTTGGATACATCATATTTATGATCAATTGTGGTTTACTGGTTATTAGTTTATTGATTCATTGTCTCAATTATTGAGCACATTGTTTATTTTACACTTCGTAAGCAAGAAGTTTGAGTGCGTTCACACCACCTATATTATCTGATTGAAAAGTGTCAGAATACACAGTGCATCGCAGTTTGTTCTGTATGGGGATGTGTAGCCACAGACCAGATGGGGTGCCTATGCTGACCCCTGTCCACAGGCAGAAGTGCCTACAGTGGGCACATGAGCTTCAGAACTGGACCACAGAGCAATGGAAGAAGGTGCCCTGGTCTGATGAATCACACTTTTTTACATCATGTGGATGGCCGGGTGCATGTGCGCTTACCTCAGGAAGAGATTGCACCAGCATGTACTATGGAAAGAAGGCAAGCAGAGGCAGGGTGGCCCCATCCTTCTTAAAGGTACAGCAACGAACCATAAGCCAGGACTTTCTCAGCTGCAACTGAAAACTGAAGGTGGAGGGGGGATTTATGGTGTTGGAGTGTTTTTCAGGGGGTTGGGCTTGGTCCCTTAGTTCCAGTGAAGGGAACTCTTTGGGGATGGCCCTTCCTGTTCCAACATGACTGCGCACCAGTGCACAAAGCAAGGTCCATAAAGACATGGATGAGCAAGTTTGGGGTGGAGGAACTTGACTGGCCTGACCTCAACCGATAGAACACCTTTGGGATGAATTAGAGCGGAGACTGCGAGCTAGGCCTTCTCCCCCGACATCAGTGCCTGACCTCACAAATGTACTTCTGGAAGAATGGTCAAACCTTCCCATAGAAACACTCCTAAAACCTTGTGGACAGTCTTCCCAGCCAGGTGTGGGCTACTCTTTCATTATTTCTTCATCAATTAAGCAGGTAAAAGGTCTAGAGTTTATTGTAAGTGTGGTATCATTGTCAAAGTCTACAATCAAGAGAATACTTCACGAGAGCAAATACAGAGGGATCAACACAAGGTTCAAACCATTCATAAGCCTGAAGAATAGAAAAGCCAGATTAGACTTTGCCAAAAAACATTTAAAAAAGCCTGACCAGTTCTGGAAAAGCATTCTTTGGACGGATGAAACTAAGATTAAGCTGTACCAGAGTGACAGGAAGAAAAAAGTGTGGAGAAGGCTTGGAACAGCTCATGATCCAAAGCACACAACGTCATCTGTAAAACATGGTGGAGGCAGTGTGATGGCATGGGAATGCATGGCTTCCAGTGGCACTGGGTCATTGGTGTTTATTGATGATGTGACAGAAGCAGCCGGATGAATTCTGCAGTGTTTAGAGATACTGTCAGCCCAGATTCAGCCAAATGCAGCAAAGTTGATTGGACGGCGCTTCACAGTACAGATGGACAATGATCCAAAACACAACGCAGGAGCTTTTGAAGGAAAAGTGGAATATTCTTCAATGGCCGAGTCACCTGATCTCAACCCAACTGAGCATGCATTTCACTTGCTGAAGGCAAAACTAAAGGCAGAAAGACCCACAAAGAACTGAAGACAGCTGCAGTTACAGCCTGGCAAAGCATCAGAAAGGAGGAAACCCAGTCTTTGGTAATGTCCATGGGTTCCAGACTTCAGGCATTCATTGCCAGTAAAAGATTCTCCACAAAATATTAAAAATGAACATTTTATTTATGATTATATTCAATTGTCCAATTACTTTTGGTGCCTTGAAAAAGGGGGGATAGCTACTCTTAAGAGGTAGTAATTCCTAAACCCTTCCTCCAATGTGGATGTACATACCCTCAAATTAAACCTGAGAGTGCATTGTCCGCCCATATCTATTATAGAACTATAGCTTGAATATGTTTTGGTAAATATCTGAAAAAAATCTAAAATTGTGCCTGTGTCCAAATATATATGGACCTAACTGTGTGTGTATATATAATTGTGTGTGTGATTTAATATTTTTTTTTTCACAGGCAATAATTACAAAGTGGGTAGGATCCCAGGGTTCAGCTTTTAGACCTGTGTCTGATATGTATTTATCTATGCCCTATTCCTGCCTGTCCCAATGTACAAGCAGTGTGCTTAAAAAAAAAAAAAAAAGTTTTACTCTCTGGACAAATCTAACCAAATAATTTTGTCGTCCGTCCGAAATGGAATATTTGCATTGAAGTAACCTTCTGATTGTTTTATTAGACGATTGTGGAACCACACACTCCAGAGTGGCATTTTAGTGGTTAAATGATGCCTTTTATTTATTTTATATATATATAGATATATATGTGCTAGTGTAAGCCTTGATAGGTTTTATTTATTTATTTGTTTACAGGGATAAATTGTTTTGCGCAATGATGTTTTTCTAGTCCACACTCTGTATTGTGTGCATTCAGCGCATTTATTTCTCCTCTCTGTATATTCCATTATCTGTTGATCGAGAGGTTCCTGGCATTCCGCTTCCAGCGCAGATTGAACAAACACACTCCGGCCACTGTGTCCTTGAGCCGGGTTTCCAGCCACAGGCGCAGCACAAGGCATCCAATCAAATTCCCCAACCAAGAGAAGAATAAGTCACTGAATTGCATTGACCTGCATCCCACGCTTGCCGCGTTCTGTTGCCGGGACTGCGCTGTTATATAGCACCTGAGAACCTTGAATGTGCGGCAGCGTTCCAAAATGGCTTTTAGCAGTTGTCATGGAAACTGCCAGGGATCGGGTTCAGGGTCTACTTTTCTAAAACAGGCAGTGTTCACTTTTGTTAACTGGAAATAAAAAAAAGCCTGAGTTTGATTTCAAGAGAGGATTACATGCAGTAATTAAAGCTCAACTCCAGCCTTCCTTTCAGTCTTGCATAGTAGAGGCTCCTCTCATGTACTGAAATGGCTCACTCTGATTCCACTGCACACTGAGCTTCTCACAATGTGCATTAGAAGCTGCAGCAAATCAGAGTCTGCCTCATGTTCTGGCTGCAGGATGTCCAGCTCCATTTAGCCCTTTTCCTCCCTTTTTCCTCACTGTCTTTGTCCCAGTGCTTTCATTCATTGGAATTAAGTCTTCCACAAATCCCTGTCCTTAGGGAATCTAGGGTCCTTAAAGTTCTTTGGAGTGTGGGAGCAAATTCATGCAAACACAGGGAAAACATTCAAACTCCATACAGATAGTGTCCTGGCTGGGGTTCCAACCGGGGACGCTTGTGCTGCTAATTTGTATTTGAATTTCAGCACAGAGCTCTGGGCTGTGATTGGACACAGCTGATCAGCAGGTCCTGGTTGTGAATCATTGGCCGGGACTTGCTGACGGACTTCTACTGTGTACAATCACAGCGGGTGCCGAAACTGGGAAGTAGACAGCGACGTACAGGTACGTCGCTTTGCCTACAGCGGTTGCCCATCTTCAGTACTTTGCTGGCGGGTGGTCACTAAGTAGTTATAAATATACTGGATATTCTCAATTAGTGTGTTCATATATTTTGTCCTTTTATGCGTACCTCCTGAATCTGTGTGTTCATATACAGTGAGGAACAGAAGTATTTGAACACCCTGCGATTTTGCAAGTTCTCCTACTTAGAAATCATGGAGGGTCTGAAATTCCCATTGTAGGTGCATTCCCACTCTGAGAGACAGAATTTAAAATAAAAATTCAGGAAATCACATTGTATGATTTTTAAAGAATTTATTTGTCTTGCACTGCTGAACATAAGTATTTGAACACCTGAGAAAATCAGTGTTAATATTTGGTACAGAAGCCTTTGTTTGCAGTTACAGAGGTCAAACGTTTCCTGTAGTCCTTGACCAGGTTTGCACACACTGCAACAGGGATTTTGGCCCACTCCTCCACACAGATCTCCTCTGGATCTGTCAGGTTTCGGGGCTGTCGCTGAGCAATACGGAGTTTCAGCTTCCTCCAAAGATGTTCTATTGGATTTAGGTCTGGAGACTGGCTAGGCCACTCCAGAACCTTGATATGCTTCTTACGGAGCCACTCCTTGGTTATCCTGGCTGTGTGCTTCGGGTTGTTGCCATGTTGGAAGACCCAGCCATGACCCATCTTCAATGCTCTGAGGGAAGGAGGTTGTTGCATGAAAATCACAATAAATGGCCCCATTCATCCTCTCCTTAATACAGTGCAGTCGTCCTGTCCCCTTCACAGAAAAGCACCCCCAAAACATGATGTTACCACCCCCATGCTTCACAGTAGGGATGCTGTTCTTGGGATGCAACTCATCCTTTTTCCTCCAAACACGACGAGTGAAGTTTAGACCAAAAAGTTCTACTTTGGTCTCATCTGACCACATGACTTTCTCCCATGCCTCCTCTGGATCATCCAGATGGTCATTGGCAAACTTCAGACGGGCCTGGACATGTGATGACTTGAGCAGGGGAACCTTCCTGCAATGCATGATTTGAAACCATTACGGCGTAGTGTTCTACCGGCAGTGACATTTGAAACTGTGGTCCCAGCTCTCTTCATGTCATTGACCAGCTCCTCCCTTGTAGTTCTGGGCTGATTCCTCACCTTTCTTATCATCAGTGATACCCCACGAGGTGAGATCTTGCATGGAGCCCCAGTCCGAGGGAGACTGACAGTCGTCATTAGCCTCTTCCATTTTTCTAACAATTGCTCCAACAGTTGATCTATTTTCACCAAGCTGCTTGGCAATTGCCCGTAGCCCTTTCCAGCCTTGTACAGGTCCACAATTTTGTCTTTGGTGTCTTTTGACAGCTCTTTGGTCTTGCCCATGGTAGTAGTTGGCGTCTGACTGACTGTGGGGTGGACAGGTGTCTTTAAAGAGCTCAGACAGGTGCTACTAAGTTAGATTAATGAGTGGAGTAGAGGAGGACTTTTTAAAGGCACAGTAACAGGTCTTTGAGAGCCAGAATTCTTGCTGTTTCTTAGGTGTTCAAATACTTATGTTCAGCAGTACAAGACAAACAAATTCTTTAAAAATCATGCAATGTGATTTCCTGAATTTTTTTTTTTTTTTATTATTATTATTTCTGAGTGGGAATGCACCTACAATGTGAATTTCAGACCCCTCCATGACTTCTAAGTGGGAGAACTTGCAAAATCGCAGGGTGTTCAAATACTTCTGTTCCTCACTGTATAGTGATAACTTTGGATGTCCCAAACAAATAGTGTATCAAAAACCTATTTCTATATCCACATAGTGCAATAAAAGCGCCAAAGGGCTGCCTTTATATCTTAAAGTGCCTGAATCATTTAAAGAAAGTGGACTATATAGCACATAGATTTAAGAAGCCATAACGTCAACCCACGGTGCAAATATATGCCAGAGCAAGACAGAAGAATATTGGTGGGGGAATTTCTGGAACCACTGTCTTGATTTGTTGTTTGCTCAAATGACGCCTCTTCAGAGTGAGCCAAACATGGTGATCACATGAGGTTAGTTTGCAAACAAACCTGTCTCCTGCAGCAGTCACTATACATGGCCATGGGTAAAATAAATGTAAAAAGAATTGGAAACTCTTAACTGTCAAAAACCTAAAAGTCCTTTAAAAATACATATTAGTCAGCTTGTAATGGGGGAAAAAATGAGCAGTGAATAAAATAAAGCTTTTTATCTGTATTTCTTCAGAAATCAGTGTACAAATTTAGTCCTAGTCCTAGAGTTAGCCGATCCACACTGATGCTGGTCTAAGTGTCCAGCATTGAATAACGTCTGGTCATGAAAAGGTTAATATACACAATAAACTGGTGCAAGACAACATTGACGTGTAAGTTCACCTTTTCCGAAAAAATGCAAAGGTGAACAAACACTCTACACCCTCCCCATTCCACCCCTTCCTTCCCAGGTTCCCACTGTACTTGCCTCCTGGCATGCTGATATGGTGATGTACGGTGAACAAACACTTTAAAACCCCACTCTTCTCCCCTTCTCCTTTTTTCTTCAGGGCTTCTGGGGCGGACCAGAATGATTCTGATTGGTTAGCACCAGCACAGAGAATTGCTCTGATTCATCCTGGAAGCCCTACAGGAAGAAGGGAGAGACGATTAGGGATTTCAGATTCCTGGACAACTGCATGGGTGCTGTGGCTACGAACAGCTCATCACCCACAGAGGTAAGTACAGCAGGTACCTGGGGTTTGGGGAAAGGGTGTAGGATGTTCACCTTTACATTTTTTTTCTGTAAAGGTGAACTAACCCATTACAGTGGTTCCAAAGGCTAAAGGTTTTTTTTTTACCTTCTGTATGCAGCCCCCCTCTCCCCACTTCACCCTTACTTACCTGAGCCCGATCACATTCCAGTGCTGTGCCTGAGAGCAGTGGCTTTCTTTGCTCTCTCATTGGCTCAGATATAGCAGCGGTCTCTGTCAATCACAGGCAGTGAAGAAGGAGCTGGGGCAGGGCTGAGCTGTGCTCTGTGTGTCAATGGATACACAGAGCCAGCTCAGGAGTGAACTTGTACACATGCCCCTATAGTAGCCAGTTTTCTATGGGGGCTATGAGTGGGGAGGAGCAGTCAGGAGTCCTGGCAGGGGACGCAAGAGGAGCAGGAACAGGGCTGCTCTGTGCAAAACCATTGCGCAGAGCAGGTAAGTATAGCATGTTTGTTATTTAATTAAAAAAAAAAATTGCTGATTGTATCGCTTTAACAGACCAAAAGGGATCAAACAATAGAAGATCATTGTTTGGGTTTGCTTATTAATTTATACCACTTTAGGTTTATTTTCTCTTTTCTGTAAATGTTGTGCTACTATAATCACTTCTACCTCTTCTTAAGATTTTGATTAACAACTTTTTTTTTGTCTTGATTTCTTCCAGTCGAGGAAATTGTGCCAAATGTGATTGAGCCCTCGTTTGGTCTCGGGAGAATCATGTACACCGTTTTTGAGCACACATTCCAAGTCAGACAAGGAGACGAGCAGAGGACGGTAAGGAAATCTCTGCTGGCAGCTATATAAAAGCTGCATTTTTGCAAAAGTAAAACCTGTTTTTGTTAAACACCTCATTTTAAACCCAGTGAAGTCAGATACAGCGGTAGGTTTGGTAGGAACCCAAAAAGGTAAAATGTAAAAAAAAAAATACACAGAGGGAAATTGAACAATGTGCAAATTGCATCTACCCAAGGCCATCAGTCATCAGTTCATTTCATTGCTTTGTCCCCCTTTGTAATGTACAGCACTGAGCGAACTATTGGCGCTTTATAAATACTGTATAATAATAATAATAATTGCTTTTGACTACTTTAAAGCCAAAGTTGAATCTGCTTATGTTTTGCTTTCCCTTCTCCCCATTAAGATAATATTTACATTTTTAAATCAAACCTTTCCTTTTTCATTTCATACCATATTTTAATACCAGTGATGTCATCACTGGGTCTCTGTGCAATGCAGGCAAATCACGACTGGTGGGAGAGACCAGTAGGGTGCTGTACATAGCTTCCTGTAATGCTGAAACTTCCTAATTGAAATAACAAAGTATAAATAAGGTCCAAATCTTTTTTTAGTTTTGGATAGAGTGGAGAGGGATTAGAACAGAACACCTATTTGTTTTTTTTTTTTTATTGCTGTCTGTACATTAGGAAGATTCACCTCTCTGTTTGTCCTGTTTTACCATTATCATTGAAAGTAATGAAAACACCACAATTTTTTGGTTTTTCCCCAGAAAAGCAATAGAGGGAAAATTTTCCAATGGGGACCTGTGGGTCCCCAAGGAAATTTCTAGGATTATCTCTTACTTCCTGTTTTGGCTATAGGACAAGAAGTAAAGGTAAATCTCTCCAATGGGACACATATGGCAAAAAATTAAAAAAAAATTGACAGGGGTTATAGCCCTCCCTTACTCTATCCAAAATGAAAAAAATACGTTTTTCCTAAAATTCTATTTGAAATCCAAGGAATGAAAGTAGCAAGCCAGGGACAGTAAAGCTGGCTATACACCAGATGAATTTTGGCTGGTCAACACAAGTCAGTCATTTTGGCATTTTGAATGTTCCAGCTGACTGCACAAAAAAGTTTTAAAGCTTAAACATTTTTTACCGTAATTGTGGTGGTTTATGTAAGGATATATTTTACTTATAAAGGGCGTGTCCCTTTCCCTTAGGTGAAATATTACAGTGCCTCCAGCCGTTAAAATACGGCAAATATTTAGTGAACCAATAATTTGGACACCTTGATAATTTGATCACCACTTATTATTATACCTTGAATTCTTTTAGCCAATATGATTTCGTACCATACACACAAAATTTGCCTTATAATAGATAAATATAAAAATTTATTTATGTACAAAAATTATATATATATTAACACACAAAACGCAAAAGACTGGTGATAAATGAATATTGGTACACACAATCAAAAATATATCCTACCAATGTAAGACACAATAATAAGGTTTCTAACTAATTACATCAATATCACAATTTTTAAATGATCTGATTATTTATTAAATTTATTAATAATTAATAATTTCGAGTATCTCAAAGGTGATATTCTCACAAGCCGTGGCCATAGGATTGCAAGAAGCTAGCCCTTGATATATTATACTCTGATTATTAATATTCAATAAATTATGAAATATAAAAAAAAATTATAATATGGCACCAAACAATTTTTAACAGTAAAAACAGGATCTCTCTACATATATCTCGAACTACCCAATATTGTTGTGATACACTAAGGTAATTCTATGATTCCACACAACGGAGAAAATAGGTAATACAAAATCAAATAAACAATCTCACCGCACCCGGCATTCAGACTAGGCAACTCTCCCGTGGATTTAGCTGGCAATGGGGAACGCCTTTAGAAATGATATTATAGGGCAAGTGATAGATATTTAGTATGGGAGAATGTAGGAAGTTATAAGGATAGAGGTTTAGAAATTTAGTAAAGTTTTAGGAAGTTTGAAAGTATGGAAGAGTAGTTATTCAGAATCAGGTCTTTCTTCAGTCAGGTTTTCTTTTGCTGAGGTCTTTTCTTTTGATGAGTTTTTTTCTTGATGAGGTTTTTTTTTCTTAAAGGTGCATGGGCTTTTTATATCCACTAATCCATTGTTCTAAGATACCTTCCCACCAGGCTTCCTGATTGGCTAGTTGAGAAATGTGTGTACATAAGCTATTTCTCACCTGCCCGCCAGGTGGCGGTCATGTATCATAGAACAATTTGAGTATTTGAGATGACTCATACCTCGGGTGGAATCTTAAGGTAATTTCAGGGATCAAATATACGTCTTTTTCCAGATATAAGTGATCATACCTATAATATTCTAAATAGGGACCATGGAATATAGGTGTATATTCAGTTATTCCTTCTTGAAATACCATCCTGTTTGTTTCCTGATAAGACATGTAACTAATGCTAGTTTATAATACATCTTACTTTCCATCATCTCAATACTCAAGTTAGTGATATATAGTTCCCATTGCTGAATATTTAGTGGTGTGTGTAAAACCTATCCTTTATAACATCTCATTTATAATATATTTTTGTAGTATATCTTTGTAATTATATACAGTCAATTTTTAGACTTAAATGTCCTGAATTTCACTTCTTTGTTTTAGAACCAACATTTTCTTTGTGTAGGGAAAAAACTCTGTTTGCCTGGCTCTTGTATTGGAATCACGGTAAACAACTGTTAATGCTTTCACCCTTGGTGGACAATAGTATATGGTAATAGTTTCAGAGGTCTGTTGGTTTATCACACTCTACAAGGTTTGGGTAAGCTCTCAGACAATCAGTTTGGTTCCTCTATTGTCATGTCCAGACCTTGTATATGTTTACCTGCTTATTGAAGTCTGAATAATGGTGTTTGACCACCTGTAGAACTTCAAAATAGTATTGTCTCTAGGAGGAAAAAAAAAATCCCTTCACCCACCGTCTACATCTCTCCAGCCAGATGGTCATTCGACTTTCCAACCAAGACAAATTAACCCTTAACATCCGGCTATGCTGACTTGATGTTATATAGGATTATGTCTTGATAAAATTATGTTTTTGAGACATAATTTCAAAAGGCCCACAACATAATGCATTCCTTTAGGTAGTCATATACCCCCTTTACTTACCTGAGCCCTCATTCCATCCAGTGCTGTGCCCATCTTCATCTCTTCTTTCCGCTCACTTCCGGGTTTCATTGACTTTGTTGAGGCAGCAGGAGCCATTGGCTTTCGCTGCTGTCACTCGGAGCCATTGATGAGGAAGCAGGTGGGGGGGCGAGTCCCGCTGTTTGTCAATAGATGCAGTCAGCAAGGTTCTGCAACTCTTCTTTCCGCTCACTTCCGGGTTTCATTGACTTTGCTGAGGCAGCAGGAGCCATTGGCTTTCACTGCTGTCACTCGGAGCCATTGATGAGGGAGCAGGTGGGGGGGCGAGTCCCGCTGTTTGTCAATAGATGCAGTCAGCAAGGTTCAAGAGTGAGCGTGCACGAGTGCCCCCATAGAAAGCGCCTTTCTATGGGGGCACTTTGCATAGGGCAGTAGCTCTGGCAAGGAACCTGAGCAGAGGAGTTTTGGTGATGCACTGTGCAATTCCATTGCACAGAACAGGTAAGTATTTATTTCTTTCAGGTACATATATAGCACTGTCAATTTATGCAGCGCTTTACATATATATTGTACATTCACATCAGTCCCTAACCCTCAAGGGGCGTACAATCTAAGGTCCCTAACTCACATTCATATACAAGGGCCAATTTAGACAGGATCCAATTAACCTAGCAGCATGTCTTTGGAGTATAAACCTGTTTTGTTATTTAACCCTTTCCTTCCACCCCCTCCCAGAGGTTCCAAATGCCAGGAGGCAGAGGCGGGCATTCCAATCACGTGGCTGCCAATCACAGCAGTCACATGATCAGAAAGCTCCCAATTGCAAGTTTGCATTGGGAGCTTTCCAGCTGTTACTGTGTTGGGAGTGTGCTGTCAGCACAGTAATGTGTTAACATAGGGACACACGTATGCGTCCGCTTGGGGTTGAAGCCCACCAGCTGCGAGGTTGCATATATGTGTACTGCTGCAGGAGCTGGTTAAAAAAAAAAAAAAAAAGCATTTGCAGTTACTTTAAGGCTGGAGAGGCAAGCTCTGCCTGGCTTCCTGCAGCTTATATTGTATGCTGTGATAGGTTCACATTGTGCATTAAATCAGAGAAAGCAGTACAGGAGAGGATCCAGTACAACTGTGATAGATTGGAAGGGAAGGCTGGAGTTTAGCTTTAGGATAAAGTCACTCCAAGCCAATTTATTCCATTTAGTATGCATGTGGTCGGATTTAATCACCTGTCAACTTGTCAAAAGCCTTTGGCACCCAGCAAGAAGATCTTCTGTAATATCACGTTTGCCCCTCTTTCAGGCTGTGACATTGTTCACTCATCTTGGTGGTGTTAACCGGTCTGTGCTAGTTTATTTAATTTATTTATTACAGTTTCCTATGTAGTGCCATCAATTTACACAGCGCGTTAAATAATGTACATCCACATCAGTCTCAGTCCCTAACCCTCAAGGAGCGTACAATATATTCCTTTAGCTAAAAAAAAATGGTATGCACCTCATTAATGTCTAAGCAGCAAAACCAGCACATGGGTCTAGGCAAGTCACAATAAGTTCATTTATCGGTTATGGTGGCTCTGAATTCGCACTCTGTGGAATTAGTTTATTGCCCTAGCATTGAGCTTCCATGTTTATTTACCATTTATAAATTAATGAGCAGCTTCCCACTTTTTCTCCTTGTCTACATTTTTGCGCACACACGAGTGGCCTTTCACTGCGCTGAGAGGGCCAGATACAATTATAGGTCACTGAAGTAGTCAGACTGCTTTTTGCTTTGCAGCAAGGGACCGAAGAAGCCACATTTATCGGATTTCCTACAGGAAGTGCAAAACATTATGGAGTGAAGATAAAGATGGATATTGAAAAGTAAACTTGGTTCTAACTAGGTGCTTGCAGTATGCATGTAGTCCCCCACCGTTTCCTGCTATGCAGTGCTGGGCGTCTGTAACCGATTAGAAGTCACCTTGCATTCCATTGCGCATTAGGCGGGTGAAATCCTTGGAGTCGGCGAGGAAGCAGAATTACATACTTCTAGATTTTGTGGGCTCCTAGGACACTGTAGTAACAGATTAGAGCACCAGCAGCTCTGTCTTCCTATGATTCAGTGTTGAGAGGGCTGCTCAAAAATGAAAATCAGAATGTTTCAGAATTGGGTGTACTGTGTTAGCCAGAACTACAGAAGAAAAATATTTGGTTGTGCTCATTACAGAAGGTTGTAAAATGAGAAAATGTGGCCTGGCATTGAGGAAAACAAATAGAATTCTTGGATGGTCACTAGAAAGGATCACCAGGAGGAAAGGAGGTCCTGATCCCCTATATAGATCTTTAGGTTATCACTAGTGGGGTCACCAGGAAGAGGAAAGGAGGTCCTGATCCTCTATATAGATGTTTAGGTTATCACTAGTGGGGTCACCAGGAAGAGGAAAGGAGGTCCTGATCCTCTATATAGATCTTTAGATTATCACTAGTGGGGTCACCAGGTAGAGGAAAGGAGGTCCTGATCCTCTATATAGATCTTTAGGTTATCACTAGAGGGGTCACCAGGAAGAGGAAGGAGGTTCTGATTCCTCTATACAGATCTTTAGGTCATCAATAGAGGGGGTCATTAGGAGGAGGAAGAAGCTCCAGATTTCCTCCATATAGAGAGTTAGTGATCACCAGAGGGGTGGGGTAACCAGCAGGAGGAAAGAGGTCCTGATTCCTCTATATAGATCTTTAGTTAGACCTCATTTAGCATATTGTGTCCAGTTCTCTAGACCTCACTTAAAATAAGATATTGATGAGAAAGACAGACCTAGAACGAGTCCAGAAACGGGCAACAAAAATGGCAGAAGGTCTGAAAGATAAAATGTATCAGGAGAGACTTCAAGAACTTAACATCTACAGTCTGGAGGAAAGAATAGAAAGAGGATTGACATGACTGCAACTTTTAAATACACGATGGCTGTGAAAAAAAGTTTCAAGAGGGCAGTATTTTGTAGTATGAAGCCAAAACAAGATCACAAGGACATGACCTCAGACTAAATTAACATTTGAAAAAATTATTTTGCCAAAAGAGGGGATGCTTGGGAGAGATTTAGTAGAGGTAGTGAGTTATTAGTAAAGTCAACCATAGATGGAAAAAATCTCAGCTGGCTCAGCAGGGAATGCCCAAGGTTCATTCCATCTATGAGCAGGCTGATGTACCCAAGTCGATCCATCAATCAACTTCAGTGCAACCAGCCTGTCTAATTTTTTTAATGAGATTACTGCTGGTGGCTATAGCCACCACCAGTGACTGTTGAGGCAGAACACGTTGGCATAACACCAATAGCACTTTGCAGGGATTCCCCCATCAACACTGATTGTGTTGATGGGGGGAATCAAGCAATTCCACGGGTGGAAGGAAAGAAAGCCGCAAAATATATGGCCTTCCTAAGGGTTCTAACATGCTTTGGATAAAGATAGGTCTATCCTATGAGAAAAGAGTTTATATAGGCTACTTTGTCTTTTTATACCATCCATCTTTTATGTTTTTTCAATAGTGTACTTTTTGGGATACATTCACATTTATGTCCTGCAACTCATACAGTATATCCTAGTATGGTGTGTTGGCAGAGCCATTTGTTGCTGATGCCACCCCAACATACTATACGGCAGTGGGCAGCACAAATGTCCAGCCTTGTGTTGTAGTGTATTCCGTTCGTGAAAAAAGGTGCTGTGCGTCATTGGCCCTCCATTATTAATGAATTAGGTGCCTTAACAAAATACTCATTAGCATGCCACAGTGGACCACACAAATGGAAATCCAACCTTAAGGTTTTAACCCCTTCCAGTCCGGACACTTTTACCCCCTTCCTGTCCAGGCCAATTTTCAGCTTTCAGCGCTATCACACTTTGAATGACAATTGCGCGGTCATGCAACACTGTACCCATATGAATTTTTTAGCATTTTTTTTGAGACAGATAAAGCTGTATTTTGGTGGTATTTATTCACCATTGGGATTCTTATTTTTTTTTTGCTATGTAAATGAAAAGTCCACAAATTTTGAAAAAAAAGTGTTTTTCTTATAAAATTTTGCAAATAAATATTATTTCATTATAAATCTTGGCCAAAATGCATTCAGTTATCTGTTTAGTAAAAAAAAGAAAAATTAACCCAAATTTGTTTATAACCAAAAATTATCATTTTTAAACATTTTTTTTTTAAATTTTTATTTTATTTTTTTATTTGTTTTTTTTTGTTTGTTTTTTTTTACACACCGTGCCCTACATGATGAATGTACTAATAATTGTTTTTTTTTTTTATTTCCTATTTTTCCTTGTTCATTTTAGTACTTCAGCTTTCCAGCAATTGTAGCGCCATACAAGTGTTCAGTGCTCCCTCTGAGCCAGAATCAGGAATTCATGCCTTTCGTGAAAGAATTATGTAAGTTCAATGCATGCGTTTGATATTCTGTTATTTTTGTTATTTTTGTTCAGGAATTACTTTTTGTTTTATTGCTTTTGTTCAGGAATGGCAAACAAAAAGCTTTAACTACTTCTTTGTACTCTAGCAAGGTATACTTCCTACCAGGACCAGAAAGCTCAGAAATTGCCATTGGTAGTTTTTGGGGGCTGTTTCTGTATTCACAACCAGCTAACCTGAAGAACAAACCATGAATACTTCTAGCACGAGGATAGCACCTTCCACTCACTGCATACATACAGGAACCAGCAGAAACCTTTCTACATGATCATTTAGGGCTTGTTTACACATGCTTTAAAAAAAGCGTGTCCAATGTCAAATTTTGAAGTGCTCTGAATGCCAATCAAAGCGGCTTTTACTAAATAAAATGGTTAGCTTACAGTCCTATTCACACATTGCTTCAAAAATTATTCCCCATGTCCCTTTAATGGTGCTTCAAAGAGTCTCCGAAGCCTCCCATAGAAATCCGTAAGAGAGCTTACTTGCAGTACCTGTAGCTTTGAGAGGCATTTTTTCAGTTTTTGCTTTACTTTGTTTTGAAGGTATTGCAGGTATGAGAGATCCCAGAAAGCACTGAGAAACCAGAAGTCAAACCTTTCTATCTAGATTTATAGCTAATAGATCCACTTTGGACTTTTAATTTCAAAATATAGGTTCTACTGAGGAAAAGAATGTATTGGAAATAAAAGCAATATTTATAATAATAATTTAAAAGGCTATTCTGTTTCCCTGTTCACTGGATAAAAAAAAAATCTTCCAGCGATTCTCTACAGGTTAAAAGTGATCCGCTCGACTGTACATCCGCTTGATCACTTTTACAGAAGCAGTAGGGGGTCTCTACCCAACCCCCCATGCTATGAAACATGTCCAGTAAAAAAAATTTGGAAACTGAGAAACGTCCATGGCGTCCAAAAAGCGTCCCTTTAGGTCAAAAGCGGTTTTAGACCGGCTAGAGAACAGCGATAGTAAATCAGAACCACTTGCAGAATTGAGTGATAATGATTCGTGGGGGAAATTCCTCATCAGACACTGAAAACGATTCTGCGACTGAGCTCAGCGATGTGCGAACTTGGCGCTATATTTCACATTTCAGTGTTTTTGGTTTGATTATATTATTGAATTACATTTATTATTATTATATTATTTTTTATGATTATTAAATTAAAATTCATGATTTCGTGTTTCACATTTTAACATACCCGGGATGTTTACTAGACTTTTGTTTGAACAGATTTTAGTGAGTTATTCCTAAAAATGACAGGCCTACAATAAAAACAAATTTCCATGCAAAAAAAGTACCGCTTTGAGCACAGAAATATGGACATAATCAGACCGCTAGGGAGGTTACGGGTTCCAGAACTATAACCTACTGACGCCTTGCTATTGGTTTACTTACTATGATCCCAGGAGTCAGTGCCTCATTGCTCTGGAATTCCAGCTGTTGGTGTTTCTTCAATTATAACACACTGACACTTTGGGGTTTATTTACTAAAGCTGGAGAGTCCAAAATCAGACTCACTTCTGCATAGAAACCAATCAGCTTCCAGGTTTCATTGCCAAAGTTTCATTGAACAAGCTGAGGTTAGAAGCTGATTGGTTTCTATGCAGAAGGGAGTCTGATTTTGGACTCTTCAGCTTTAGTAAATAAACTCCTTTGGGTCTTATAGTGATGACAAAGATACTTGCATTGCCAAAATAAGGATTCACCGAAATTCGATGTCCTAGGATAATTATATACATGTACAGTAATGCAATGACACCTGGGGTTCCAAGAAAACAATTCACATCCCATAGGAAGATATTTTGTCACTTCAGATCCCAGATTGATATGCTGACAATCACATTGTTAGAACAATGACATATTACCCTTGAGCCTTGGGCAGCACAGTGGCTAAATGGTTAGCACTTTCGCCTGGCAGTACTAGGGTCTTTGGTTCGAATCCAAACCACGGCACCACCTGCCTGGAGTTTGCATGTTCTCCCTGTGCCTGCGTGGGTTTCCTCCGGGTACTCTGGTTTCCTCTCACACTCCAAAGACATGCTGGTAGGTTAATTGGCTCCTGTCTAAATTGGCCCTAGTATGTGTATGTATGAATGTGAGTTAGGGACCTTAGATTGTACACCCCTTGAGGGTTAGGGACTGATGTGAATGTACAATATATATGTAAAGTGCTGCGTAAATGGATGGCGCTATATAAGTACCTGAAATAAATAAACAACTGTCGCCTGGTATTGCCAGAAATACCACTTATGATCATAGTCTACAAGGGTTTTTCACAATTGTATAGTATGGTGTAGTCTTGAATGATTGTACATTATAAATTTATCTGTGCTGTTGGTCTCAGATTTCTGATGGAAAATCCCTGACTTCTCGTTTTTTGTGCAGCTGAAGCTTTAACAAGGAATGGAGTGTCGCACAAAGTGGACGACTCCTCTGGGTCCATCGGCCGCCGCTACGCTACGCCCGGACGGATGAGATCGGTGTAGCCTTTGGTATCACAATAGACTTCGATACAGTAAATCGCACGCCACACACCGCAACACTTAGAGACCGGGACACAATGCGGCAGATCCGAGCTGAGGTATGAGCATTTATTACATGGAAAGCACAAATACTTGCAACTTCTGCAAAAGCAGATTGTTAGGTGTTATAGTGTACTAAAGTGATAATAAACCAAAAAACAAAATTGTAATATATTGCAGCTTACCAGTCATTTGATGTGGTACCTGCATTAGTTTTCTTTTTTTTTTTTCTTTGGAATTTCCCCCATGTTTTCAAATGATCTGGCCAATAACTCATCTATATTAGAGCACCCCCCACTCTTGATGTAGGAGCAACAGACACCTCTGAACAGAAGCATTGCTAATCTGGGGGAGGGGCGTGTTAGATGTACTAGCAGATTTAGATACACTAACAAAGCCAAACTTCGGCTACCACTTTATAAGCAGTTACAGCTCCATTTTGTTTCTCCTTTTTGGGGTAAAGGGTTTACATACATCTTGATCATTGTAGGCACCCCTCTGAGTGGTAAATGGTTTGTCTCATCCCTCTATCTGCTATATCTGACATCATGACAGCATTGTCTGCTGAAAAACAGACTTACTGGTGAGATCAGCAGGTGAAAATAAAGGAAAGAGAGCCTAAAATGAAAACTAATGCAGCCATCACATCTAAGAATTGGTAAGCTGCATTATGTTTGCTTTAACCATAGCAACCAATCAGTCCATCTACTACTGATCTGGCTTCAGTAAAGTGAATTTTGATTGGTTGGTATGATTTAATTATATTTAAGTATTTATAATACTTCTAATTCTTTCTGAAATCTGCTGTAGTGATCTGCTTCCCATTAAGGAGATTTCCTATTCACTTCCTGTACCAGAGACACAACAGGAATTGAGTCGAAAGCTCTCCAAAGTGAGTAGACATCCTCTTTTAGACGAGTCTCATCTGCTTCCATTGAAAGATTTCCCCCCACCTCCTGTTGCAGTAACAATTGTACAATTTTGAGTTTGCTATAGCTTTCTGTTTTGGTAAAAATGGCCACCAGAATTTAGAGAGGGTGTGCCTCCCCAGCAGGGACTCCGAAAGCAAACAAAACCTAAAAAAAGATCATAACCCTTCATTCAAATAAGAAAGTGTGGACTGTAGATACTTTTCTAAAGACCCATTCACCTTGCTTATTCAGGCCAAAGGGAGGGTGTTCTTAAAGCTCAACCCCTGACCATATTATATTCCCCCTTAGCAGCATTCCCCACTGCTCCTTCCTTTGGGTGCAGTTCCTTAGAGGTAGTGGTGATGTCACTCCCTTTGCCTCGGTCAAGCTCAGGCTTTCTGATGGAAGTTAGGCTCTCACTAACCATTATACTCCCACAGCACAGTCCTGTCTGACAGCAGAGGAGAACTTGATTTTCTCTACTGTCATTGAGTGACACTTACAGGTCTTGTCCCTCCCCCAGCCCTTGACTGGACGGTGAATGGATGAGCAGCAGACTGACAAACTCGTCTTTCCTTCACTCTGCACACGTCTCCTGCCAGTGTGCTCTTTATTGGCACATAGGGCACAACTGATTGGCTCCTTGTGCTGCTTCTTCCTCCCCCAGCCTGAGGTCTGCTTTACAGAGACCGGTACCAAGTCAAATTCACCTACTTACACTGCTACTTTTTTTTTTTTTTGTTTGTTTGTTTTTTTAAAACGGATAAAAATGCTGGTAATAGCTTTTTTTTTTTTTTTTTTTTTTTTTTTTTTTTTAGTAGCATTTTAGAAATGTTAGCGTTTTTATTAGCTTTTTTACAGTACATTTAGGGGAAAAAAAAATAAAATAAAGCTGTTAACTTTTTTTTGTTTTGTTTTTTTGTTTTTTCTACCTAAAAAAGAACTCTCCAGCTTGACAAATGCTACTAGCCTAAAATAATGTGCATGCGCACATAGGATAACACTATTTAGCTTCTAGGAGCAGAAAAAAAATGCTAATAGCTTTAGGAGCTTAAAAAAAATGCTAGTGTGCATGGAGCCTTAAAGTGTTAATAAAACCCAGGACCCTGCATTCACTATATCTGGTCTCCCCGGACCGTACATTCACTTTATCTGGTCTCCCCGGACCGTACATTCACTTTATCTGGTCTCCCCGGACCGTACATTCACTTTATCTGGTCTCCCCGGACCGTACATTCACTTTATCTGGTCTCCCCGGACCGTACATTCACTTTATCTGGTCTCCCCGGACCGTACATTCACTTTATCTGGTCTCCCCGGACCGTACATTCACTTTATCTGGTCTCCCCGGACCGTGCATTCACTTATCTGGTCTCCCCCTGGACCCTGCATTCACTATATCCCCTCTCCCCGGACCCCGCATTTCACTATATCTGGTCTCCCCTGACCCCGTACATTCACTATATCTGGTCTCCCGGACCCCGCATTCACTATATCTGGTCTCCTCGGACCCTGCATTCACTATATCTGGTCTCCTCGGACCGTACATTCACTTTATCTGGTCTCCTCGGACCGTACATTCACTTTATCTGGTCTCCCCGGACCGTACATTCACTTTATCTGGTCTCCCCGGACCGTACATTCACTATATCTGGTCTCCTTGGACCCTACATTCACTATATCTGGTTTCCCCAGACCCTGCATTCACTATATCTGCTCTCCCACAGGACACACAACATGGAAATGCAATTATTTTAGTAAATATAAACTGCTAAATACCTTTTCTCATCAGCAGTATATAGCAGTCTTGTGACTTATATCAGTGTTCAGCAGAGCACTGGTTAAAGCTTGTAGGAGGAGTTTTCTCTAGGAGGATGAAGAACCCCTGACCTCTCTCTGGACAGTGTTGATTGGCCCTGTGCTGATCACATGCACTCTCCCAAGAAAAAAAAAAAACTTCTCTAGCAATACACACCAAGCTGAGCATGTGTAGAGTGTCTCCACAAGATATGTCTTATCAGGAGATGAGGGGAGCATTGGAAGGATCAGAGAAGTCAGGATCAAACCGCATTTTTACACAATGCAGAGGAGTAACCCCTTAGGTTCCACAGTGAGTATAACAAGCATGCTTTACTCTCCATATACAGACTGATTGTACTGTTGTGGGTTTAGTAACACTTTAATGAATGCAGAGCCAAACTCCTGCCAGACTTTTTCTTTTCTTTTTTTTTCCCACGAGGTCAATCTTATTTTATTAAAGTTTTTATAAATGGGATGTACAGATACAAAGCATAGAAGACATACAAAGGTTGTGAGGTTCAGACCTCCCAAAATGGTAAATTATACACATAATATCTGTATAGAAACTCAGATTCCAGTAGTGACGAGCAGAGGCACCGGTGAATAAATATTACTGTTTGGATCATCTAGATAGGAATTGGGAAGGCAACAACCCGACTTAACTTCTTGCCGACCGCGCATAGCCGAATGACGGCTTCACCGCGGCCGGCCAGTTCTGAGTGGACGTCATATGACGTCCTCCCAGAACGCGCTCTCCTGCGCGCCCCAGGGGGCGCGCACCCGGCGATCTCCGTGATCGCTGTGTCCTACGGACACAGCTGATCACGTGATGTGGTGAAAGGCCGATCCCACCGGCCTTTTACCACGTGATCAGCGGTGTCCAATGACACGCTGATCACAGGGAAATGCAAGTGCCGGTTCTCGGCTGCACTTTCCTCACGCTGTCAGATCGTGAGGAAAGTACTGCCGAGAACCGGCAGTTGTCAGAGCGGGGATCGGCACCGATCATCAGGGCACTGATGATCAGTGCCCTGATGATCGGTGCCCAGCAGTGACACCCGCAAGTTCCGCCCAGCAGTGCGCCCACTAGCCCCGCCCACCTGTTCCCAGCAGTGCCCCCACCTGTGCCCAGCAGTGCCCCCACCTGTGCCCAGCAGTGCCCCCACCTGTGCCACTCTGCAGTGCCACCTACCTGTGCCCAGAAGTGCCACCTACATGTGCCCAGCAGTGCCACCCACCTGTGCCCACCCACCAGTGCCACCCACCTGTGCCCACCAGTGCCACCCACCTGTGCCCACCCACCAGTGCTGCCCACCAGTGCCACCCACCAGTGCAGCCCAGCAGTGCTGCCAGTCAGTGCCACCAGTCAGTGCCCAGGGGTTGTGCCAGTCAGTGCCGCCAGTCAGTGCCCAGAAGTGATGCCAGTCAGTGCCGTCTATCAGTACCCATCATCAGTGTCACCTATCAGTGCCGCCTATCCGTGACCCCTAATTAGTGCTGTCTATCAGTGCCGCCTATCCGTGCCACCTCATTAGTACTGCCTATCAGTGCCCTTTAGTGCTGCCTATCAGTGCCCATCAGTGCCGCCTATCAGTGCCCATCAGTGCCGCCTCATCAACGCAAATCGGTGAAGGAGAAAAAATACCTGTTTGAAAAATTTTATAAAAGAAACAAATAAACTTTTTTTTTTTTTTTTTTCAGATTTTTTGCACATTTTTTAATTTATAGCGCAAAAAGTAAAGCGCCCAGTGGCGATTAAATACCACCAAAAGAAAGCTCTATTTGTGAGAAAAAAATGATCAAAATTTCATATGGGTACAATGTTGCATGACCGCGCAATTGTCAATCAAAGTGCGGCAGCGCTGAAAGCTGAAAATTGGCCTGGTAAGGAAGGGGGTATAAGTGCCTGGTAGGCAAGTGGTTAAGTAGTAAGATGCTACCTTCTTCTGGTGACCTAGTGAAAAGTGACACAATTGGATTGGCAAGTTCCTCTGCTGGTAAGAAAAGGATACTTGAGCCTATAAGGAATGTGGCCATTGGCAAGAGAAGAGATTGCGAAGTAGAGAATACAAAAGGAAAAGTCAGGAAGAGAGCAACGGGGGGATAAGAAGAGGAGAGGGAAGTTTGAGGTCACTCCATCATGGCTAGTTGAATTTTGGGGTGATATTCTTGATCCAATCCTGAAATCCAGATAAGTAACAGAACATAGACCAGGAGGTCCAAGTTTTACTGAACTGTTTTTCCCTGCAACTGCCAACGTTCCAGGTCCTTGGTAATATCAAGTTCAGTTGCCTGTTCTACTATTGGAGGTATAGAGGTTGTTCTCCAATAACTGGGATTGATTGTCCTGGCCGTGACTAGGAAGTGCCCAAGGACATATTTTTTGCAGAGCTGCGAGGTTCAGGAATCATGGAGAGGAGTGCTAATGTGGAGAGAACGAGATTTCAGTAGGCATGAGCTTGCAGTAGACATTAAGGATTCAGAAACCAAAATGCATTGATAGCAGGGTGGCCCCACCACATATGAAGCATGGTGCCCATGTGTGTGTGTGTGTTTTTTTGTTTTTTTTAATGGCTGTCTGAGCCTTCTTATCCCAGTGACCACTGTTGCCCACATTTCTGCTGTGGTTGTCACAGAGACAGGAAGGAAGGAAAATCTCCCCAATATGGGGTCACGGACAACTGGTCAACATTTTTTTCTCGGAAGGGATTCTTTTCTGAAAGGATTAAATAGGCTGTCGGTGCTGACCACCTCTTGAGAATGCCTGTTTCCAAGCTTTATAGTACTGATCTTAGGCTGCAGTACTTCAAAGAATTGACCTAACACAAGTATACATGTAAGGATTGATGACTTCCCTTACTCCAATTATTTTCCAAGTCAGTGATCTGGGATAGAGACCGCCAAAGTCTAGCATTTAGGAGGTCAATGGGAGCAACTCATGTATATATGTACAATGAATAACCTGGACTGCCACTGGAAGTAAAATGCAACCAGCACCTTATCTGCATCGTGACAAAGACGTGACCCCTTACATAAATGTTTTTCTTATGCAGATATCTGAGCTCCCTGGGATCATCCGAGATTTAGCGAACGGTTGTCTGACATGGGCGGATGTGGAGAGCAAATATCCAGTGTTTGAGGGACAGGAGACCAGCAAGAAGGACTCAACAGAAGAGTAGACCAAGATCGGGGCCACTTTTTACCGCCAATGTTAATATTCATTGTTTTATCCATTTGACATGTAAGGGAAACAAGCATTGTACAGTGCTTACAGGGATACTGCTTAATTATTACTTTCAAATCCAAACTCTGCCATTAAACTCATGATGATAATACTTGTCTTTTTCTCTATTTGTATTTGTAATAATGTGTGTAAGGTTTTGTCAGGTAATGTGACTTGTGAATGTCCTGCAACAGAACACTGGATAGTGACTGCGAGAGGTAATGGCAATTCCTACATCTTGGCCATGTGTTTTAAAGCAGAACTTCACTTTCTGTCTACACTATTTTAATCTTTATGCTCCTAGCACTGGTAAATAGATAGGAAATTTATATTAAATTTACTTGTTTTTAAACTTTTTTTTTTTTACATTTCCTCAGTTGCTTCCTAGGCAAATGATGTCATACATCCGGGGAGTCCTCAGGAGGGGAGGAAGGGTTTTCTTAGCTAAGTACACCCTCTTACCTGCGCTAAGAGCAAATGGATTCCAGGAAGTAAATGCTACATAAATCACCTGCTCAAGATGGTCGAGGCCAGAAATGCTGGGGTGGGGGGAGGGTTCAACATGATTTTTCAGCAAAATAAAACAAGGAGACGTGGATGGATGGGCAAGTTTGCTTTAAATATAAACATTGAATTAAAGAGCATTTTTGGTTTGTGGCGCTCCGAACGTAATGAAGTTCTGTTTTAAAGTAAAGCCCTTTTTTCCATTGTCCATTGCGATACACAATTCAGAGGGGTTATACTGCAGCCTACTGGGACATTAGTAAACAATTTCAGATAGAAAGCAGAGCAAAATGGCTGGAACCTTATACTTTGTGAGTGCTTGCTAAAGACACGTATACTTATGTCCCGCATAGGTCCATACAGATGCACAGGAGGCTAAGCTGCTGGAATGCCAATACAATAACTTATCCAAAGAGTATTTCACTCATTTGGCCTTTGGAGGACTTTGCCTCTTTGGTCCCACACTGAACGCTGTTATCAGTAGCCTCACAGTAGATCAGAGCATACTCCTGCCCCACCACAGGAGGTCTAGGAAGAGCTAGGCTGACCACCAACCTTCTTCGTCTAGTTTGCAGTAGGTTCCCCCAGGCCCTCTTAGTTCTAGCCCTACAGGTTGCAACAGAGTCAGGCTCAAAGTTCAACTAGCCCCTCTGCATGAAGGTGTGCCCCCACTTCTTTACGTGGGGTGCAGATTGTGGCCGAGGGCAGTGTGTTCCCATTTACATCCACAAGCTAATCCTTTGCTTCTGGGGCCCCCTTCAGTTGCTCCTTATTTCTCCTGTGATTTTGTACAGGACAGCACACTTTTCCTGTCACTTCCGCTGGGAAACCTCCCTTGAACATGAACAACCTCTTGTGGTATATGATTTATCCTCTACAAAGTGTCTCCTTGACTCAGAGGGTCACCTAAAACCAGCTGTAGCTCTCACCAACTTGGACAAGGACCTGGATTCTCCGTCACCCGTCAACTCCTGTTGCTCCTCAGAGCACTGACACCTGTGGTCAGGCTATTGCCATCTTCTGGCATCTCCACTGTGGAATGCTTTGGTAAAGTTTCCTTTTTGAAGCCCAGTAAACAATCGCTTCCCTAGGGGCCTATCTTCTGTAAGATCTTCCCAGTGTGGGTCTCACAGGGTTTAAACACTGGTGGTCACTTATTGTTAGAGGGTTAGTTGTCAAAATTAAACCTTAAAAGGTTCACACCTTGTTTATCTGTAGCTCCATTGTTGGCAGGCAAGGGTGTCGATGAGGATGTTTGTAGTTCTCACCCTTCATGTCTTTCAGTGGTCCCCATCTCATCAGCCTGGAGTCTGAGGTCTTTTTGTCACTCCTGTTTTACATTTGCCACAATGTCTTCCTTGCACCTTCTTCCCTGTCACATTGACGTAGTGGGGTTCAAACCTTGGGATCTCTAGTGGGCTCAGGGGTCTTTTTGTAACTCTGGAGGCTGTTTGGGTACAGGCATCTTTCTGGGTACTAATACAGTACATTCTCTGGTAAACCTTGCTTAGTGAGGTTAGTTGTCTGGATAGGCAACCTTCTTTAGCCCTTGACCCATAGGGCTAGGTATGGTAGACTCCGACCTCCCCAGGCAGACTGGGTGGTCTTTTCTTGCTATTTTTTTTCTACTAGGTTCCCCTTAGGATCTACACTATAATGGCAAAGGTATTGGGACACCCCTCCAAATCATTGGATTCAGGTGTTCCAATCACCTCAATGGCAACAGGTGTATAAAATCATCACCTAGGCATGCAGACTGCTTCTACAAACATTTGTGAAAGAATGGGTCACTCTCAGGAGCTCAGTCAATTCAAACGTGGTACCATGATAGGTGGCCACCTGTGCAATAAGTCCATCCGTGACATTTCCTGGCTACTAAATATTCCACGCTCAACTGTTAGTGGGATTATAACAAAGTGGAAGCAACTGGGAACAACAGCTACTCAGCCACCAAGTGGTAGGCCATGTAAATGACAAGAGTGGGGTCAGTGTATGCTGAAGCACACAGTGCGCAGAAGTCGCCAACTGTCTGCAGAGTCAATAGCTAAAGACCTCCAAACTTGGTGTGGCCTTCAGATTAACACAACTACAGTGTGCAGAGAGCTTCATGGAATGGGTTTCCATGGCTGAGCAGCTGCATCCAAGCCTTACATCACCAAGTGCAATGCAAAGCGTCGGAAGCAGTAGTGTAAAGCACTGCATCCACCACTAGACTTGGAGTGACCAATCACGCTTCTCTGTCTGCCAATCTGATGGATGTGTCTGGGTTTGGCAGTTGCCTCCTTTACAGTACTTGCCTGACCTCATTGTGCCAAGTGTAAAGTTTGGTGAAGGGGTGATTATGGTGTGGGGTTGTTTTCCAAGTGTTGGGCTTGGCCCCCTAGTTCCAGTGAAAGGAACTCTTAAGGCATCAGCATACCAAGACATTTTGGACAATTTCATGCTCCAAATTTTGTGGGAACAGTTTGGGGATGGCCCCTTCCTTTTCCAACATGACTGCGCACCAGTGCACAAAGCAAGGTCCATAAAGACATGGATGAGCGAGTTTGGGGTGGAGGAACATGACTGGACAACCCCATAGAACACCTTTGGGATGAATTAGAGCGGAGACTGCGAGCCAGGCCTTCTCCTCCGACATCAGTGCCTGACCTCACAAGTGCCTGTGCTTCTAGAAGAATGGTCAAACCTTCCCATAGACACCCTCCTAAACCTTGTGGACGGCCTTCCTAGAAGAGTTGAAGCTGTTATAGCTGCAAAGGGCGGGGCCAACTCAATATTGAACCCTACGGACTAAGACTGGGGGACCATTAAAGTTCATGTGCGTGGAAAGGCAGGCGTCCCAATACTTTTGGCAATATAGTGTATATCTTCAGGAGGTTCTCTCCAATGTGTATTCAGTTGGCCATGTCAGATTGTTACTCTTTTGTTTCTGCTGGAAAATTATTGCTCCACCTGTTTTGATGGTTTCTGGTTGATCTGCTTCCTGCTGACAGTTTTTCCCTTCTGTGTGTAGTCCTTCCTCTTTGGCAGTGACCTTCTGTAACATTTGGTTGATCCCTGTGCTCTTCCTCTGTAGATCGACTTAGCAGGTTCCCCTATCTGGTAGTGGACCTGACCTCATTCATTCAGTCTTCATATTTATGTGTTGTCCTTCAGGCAGTTCCTGGGCTGCATTGAGGCCTTTTAGTGTTTGCTGCTGTGTTGCCCATGACCATGCATTGGGAGCTTGCCGGTACCCAATCGTTACTGTGCTGGCAGTGGGCTGTCAGCACAGTAAAGTGTTTACCTAGGGGTGCATGTATGCAAACGCTTAGCATTTAATCCCACCTCCTGTGAAGCCACATATATGCGCCAGGTCGCCAGGAAGTGGTTCATTTTGGAGAAATGAGAGTAAACTTGTTTATCTCCATTCTCTCTACACAGTCTCGGGTTGATCGAACCTCTTTATCGGCACACTTTCCACACTCAAATAATGGGGGGCCCTAAATCTGTAGCAGGGTGACTCGTTACCATGCTACAGGACTTGTGCAACCACCACAAACGCTGCTCCACTGGACACCAGCAACCCCCTGTCCTGCTTGTGCAGGATCAGCTGTCAATCACTATGAAATAGGAGGGTACAGTCCGTCTGAGGGTGTCAGCTGGTATTTCGCATGAACTGCTTCCCCGCTGCCAACAGGAAGACAAAGTGTTAAAATCTTATATTTAATCAGCTCATTTCAAATTCGTATTATGCTTCTTTACCGACCTTCATCTACCCCCCTTTACATTGGCTGCATTTATCCAGTAGCGCACAGCAGGAAGGAAACTGGCCGCTGTGCTTCATCTTTGTGTTTTGCTGTATGAGAAAAGTACTTAAAATTGCAGCATTTCCTTCCAGCCAAATTAAGGCCATTACAAGTGTCATTACTGCCACCTTGTCCAAAGCCTTCATACTGCTATGTGTGTCCTTGTCCCTGAACAATTATAGGGAATAACCAAACATTCCCTTCTGCAGGAGGCACGCGCACCGTGAATATGAATAGTCCGAGCATATAATAGCCACTGCACCCCGAGCCAAATACATCCAAAACCAGCATTTTGTTCATTTATCTCCAGTGTGGATATACAGTGAAGGAAATAAGTAGTTGATCCCCGGCTGATTTTTTATGTTTGCCCCTCACAAAGAAATGATCAGTCTAAAAATCGAATGTTCGGTGTATTGTAACACTGAGAGGCAGAATAGCAACAACAAATTTAAAAGAAATGCATGTTTAACAAATGATGACTGATTTGCATGTTCATGAAGGAAATAAGTATTTGATCCCCTTCACAAAACATGACTTAGTACTTGGTGGCAAATCCCTTGTTGGCAATCACAGAGGTCAGATGTTTCCTGTAGTTGGCCACCAGGTTTGCACACATGTCAGGAGAGATTTTGTCCCACTCCTCTTGGCAGATCCTCTCCAAGTC